AGAACCACCAAAAACAGTTTGGTGCAAATCCGTGACACACCAATCTAGTCGTTCCCTTTTTAGTTAAAACGTAAAATCCTTTTGTTAAATATTTTTTACTTTAAATGAGAAGGTTTGACTAAGAAAAATTAAGATAATTTTATCATACAAAACAGTCCATTTTACACTCTCAATGAATTTTTTAACACAGAGGTTGAAACAAGTAAAATAATAAAATGTAGATAGTTAAAAATGAAAATACGACGTATTCAAACAAAATGTAAATCTCGTTCACAAATAAAAATATTAATTCATTCATTCATAAAGTACATATAAAAACGCGTCAATATCGGAAACACCAAGTATTGATAAATTTTCTCCTGAAAATCACTCATTGTAGTGATACATATCAGAAAGTTATACTCTGACAAACAAAAAATTCCACCCAATTGATTTTTTTAAATTTTCTCGATAAAAGAAAATTCTGCACTTAATTTGTCTCATTGATTTTACCAATAAATATTTGTTTATGCTATGTTTTAAATTGGGAATATCAATTAGAGGTAAACACATTAATTCTTAAATCTTAATCCAAAACAAGGATAAAGGATTTGACAATGTTTACTTTTTACGGAATTTAAAAAATTTTCAGTCTCATCTGTATACTGAAGCAATAAACTGTTCAGTTTTCATCTCTGTTGTCTTAATTTCAATTTTTAAACTTAAAAACGTAATTTAGTGCTGAGGATGTTGCGCGCGGTGTGGCACTTATTTTGATGATGGACAGTCCATCACTTCCTGATACACTCCACGATTTTGAAAGAACTCTTCGTGGAGGATGGGCTAACCTCCGGCAAAAAGACATTTCCAGACTGGTAAAAAGTATGCCGAGGCGTCTTCGAGATGGAATGAAGGCGAGAGGAGGAAATACGCGATATTCAAATATTAATTAAAAATTTAATAAACAATTTTATTTTTATTTTTAATTTTCTTTCCGTCTTTTTTATTTTTCATTTTCCTTAGCAATTTTTTTTGGCGGTGTTGGGGGTTGGGGGGAGCACAAGCACTAAGGGTCATGATTGTCCCAATGCGCCACCCAAACGCGCAGTGCGTGGGATATATTATGTATATTTACTTCTTTTATTTATTTATACACTTATTTATTTATTTTCCCTTTTTCCTCCCCTCCTTCTTCCTTTTAATATATTTTATTAATCCAAAACTGTGAAAAAGAGGACAAACAGTGTGAGAAGCTCATATTTTGTCGAGTAGATTTGCTGATTTGAGTAAATTAAACAAATTACGTATACTATCGTGGTTATCGCGTAGTATTTCTTGGATTCTGTATATAATGTGCATGACGTAAGTGTATGTTGATTGCGATGAACTGATTGCACATTTCGCAAATTGGAGGTGCCTCTCGAACAAGAAACTTTGATTAATATATAAAAATATATACAAATCAAGTTATATTACAAGTGGGTGGAATGCCCGTCATTGTATAAACAAGTAATACCGCTTTTTGACTTTTAATAGAAAAAAACGTCATTGTTTGGCCACGACCGTCAGAAGTTGCCATTTTATACAGGCATTATCTCAACCGAAAACTGGTTATTTTGGCCAGGAAAGCGTCTATTAAAAACGATACTTGAATCAAGACATGGCATGTATCCGGTCTCGCATAAAAAATTGCTAAAAGCGCGTTTTTATCGGGTAGTTTGCGTGATTTTTATTTGTCCGGTCGTGCACCCTGTTCGATTCGATCAGCACCGGATCTCTTAATGAAACAATGGCGTTCCTATTTTCTTATACGATTTTTACTCAGAAAAACTGGTATCGACTTACACTTCGATCCACCAATCAACCAAAAAAAGTGCTAGATAAACGATAGTTAGAAAATAAATAATATGTAACGGATTCGAAAATTTCAAGTAACGAGGCTTTTCTAAATTAAACTATGAACAAAACTGTCTAATAACTGATGAAATGGACGAGTACAATAGTTTGAATCTAATTAGAATAATCAGGGACGATGAAACTTCTAGTAAAAATCTAAACATATAATTATTATTAACTTAAATTTAAATAATAATTAAACTGGGAAAAAAATCAAGAATTTGATTACATGGTTTCGTTCTCTCGTCTTCTTCAGTGCTTTAGAAGAAAGAAAAATCTTTCTAAAGCGCCATCGACATAATCAGAAATTCATGAAGACTAATTTAATTTTAATAATAATATTAATACTAATTAATAATAATATTACTTTCGAAATTAATCCAAGTTACAAAAAATGTTTAAATTTAGAAATATAACATATATAATATAACAATATAAAAGCAAAATAAGAAAACAAAAGAAAAAATTACTTAAGTATTAAATAATTTGTAAAGTAATAGAATAACTTAAAAGAACGTTTCATATAAATATACCTAAAAAAGATCACATTTATCATTGTTGTTGTAAATTTTTAAATTGTCATTGTAAAATAATATAACATATTTTAAAATATTATAGAAATAATATAAGAAAACAATTACATAAAAATATGTTGATTAGTAAGTAAAAATAAAGGTAATTTGTGCATATGTAGTTTAATTACATTCAGTAAAAATTTTAGTATGGATATGTATACATCTACATACAAACACGTGCAGAAGTGCAAGTTAAATAAATTATACGAAAAACATTTTATCATTACAGAAATACTGAAAGATAATTTAACTTAAAATATACATAATAATTCAAGATTTAACATGTCTGTGTGCTTGACTGTAGAATGAAGAAAAAGAAGAATTAAAAAAATTATTGGCTGAACATAACATTCACTTTTATCGTCAATAGTCATTTACTTAAAAAGGAAAGAGGAAGCACTGTCGATTATGAGATAAAACATTTTATTGTTATATTTCAACCGGATCTTGGTATGGTTTGGATGAAAAACAAATTCAATTATTATCTGCCAAGGTAAAAGCTAAAAACCCTTATTTAACTTTTTCAAACTTGATGGTGATTCTTTGGCATTTACATCAGGCTTGGGGATAACAATATCAGAAACTTAAAATGAAATGAACATATCCTGAACATCGGCAGAAAAGGAAGCTTTGTTGCATTTAGTTAAACTTAAATGCACATTTCCATCATCTTCTAATACTTAAAAATTTAATTATACTAATGTAATGATCAAGATTGAGGCGTATCTTAATCCAAAGACAGTTCTGCCAAGCTTTCAACTTTATTTGAAGACATCAGGACTTCTTTGTGTGATTAATTCACTCTTTTACTACTTATAAAAATGGTAGTTTTATGATGTAACATAAAAGTCAATAAAATAACGATTTTCTTCTTTTGACAGGAAAAACCACGGACAAGTATAAAATAATTGTTTTGTTTCTTAATTGTACAATTTATATCTTTATAATTATCACAGATATTTAATACAATACAGCTCTATTAAGTCAACCACAACCTCGGTTATTACGATAGTAAAGTTATGTTACCTACATTCGACCCATAATAGAGTTTACACGTGGTATTTGGAGCCCCTATAAAAAGCTCATTGACTTTACCAAAATCTCCAAAAAATTAAAGCTGTACAGCTATATCAGCTAATTTAAATTCCTAGATTTAATGTCAAGATTGTAGAAAAAGGCTTGTCGAAACAAAAAAAATGCTACAAATTAATATGATCCTTCACCTCAACTACATACATCCTCAAAAACTCATGGCCATAGCATGAAACCTCAAAAACAGCACTTCTGAAATTAGTTGGATCCATGTTCTTCTCAAACCGCATCATAGAAAATTGTATAATCTGCCTTCAAATGTCATCACCTCTTTGTTATTCAAATCAAATCTTGACATCATCTTTAATCAAAAAGTCTCTAACTCTTAGGGAACGTCTCTAACTTTTTTTAAAAATTTATTTAGTATATTTTAATCGGAATTTTATTGTGAAATTTGGTTGCCATACCTAAGTCATTAATATTATATTAATTGTAAATTATTATTTATCTGCAAGGATTTTGTTTGTAAATTTTATACACTTGCAAATGTATCGTTTGTTTCATAATATGTTGAGTGGTTTTTGGCATTACATGTGGTGTTTACTCCAATTGTTCATGCAACAATAAATTCAAATAAAAAAAATAAATACAGCTTTCAACCTATATTGAGTTTTTAATAAATGGTTTCAACAATCTTTGAAACTCTTAACTGTGACAATCCTTGGTTCTATGACTCAGTCTATCTTCAAAAAAATTTGAAACCATGTATTAAAAACCTAATTATGTCAATTTTTAGACATAAATAAGATTGTTTTTCCTGATGAAGACTTTAAAATAGATTGAAAGCTTGGCAGGTAAAAATTGAATTTGTTTTTCATCCAGACCATATCAAGATCCAGATTATTCATGTGTAAAAAGTGTCGATTCGTCTAACATTTTAAACAGTTATATTTAAAAATCGATTGTTTGATTGACAAAAAACTGTCCTTGAAACAAATAACAAATGGCACGAGCGGGATTCGAACCCACGACCTTCGGCTAGATACGCCACTGCTCTACCACAGACCTAGATCCACTCAGACATCAACTTCCTATCTCAACCCCACCTTATGAGTTTTCCCTCCTTTTTGCCATTTTTATTTTTCAACCTCTAAAAACTATATACCTTCTTTTTTGAAAAATTTCTGAATAAAACTGAGAATTTTAACACATATTAATATTGTATGTCTTGGTAAGTGTTCTTTGCCTTCAAATCCTTTGGCAATGTCCTCTACAAGCCTGTAAACTGATGTGTTCCTGATCCAGACCCCCCCGCTGAATATAGCAAAATGATAAAATGCATCTGACAGACCAGCCAGCAGGATAGGCTGACCAAAATTATCGGTAATGACCAAAATGATCGGTAATGATTAAATAACTGTAGGTGATTCTCACGGCACTGAGCATCTAAAAGATGTCTCAAAAATTTTAAAATTTAATTAATCCAACTATATGTTAATTCATGAACTGAATTTTCAGGAAAAAGGGCTCAGGAGTGCGTAAGTTTGTTCCTCAGTGTGATCCTCCTGGTTGTGAATCTTTTTTACCTCTTGTCCTACATAAAATTGGACAATATTGGCACAGTTATATTATTAATATTCTGCAGCATGGTAACTGCAGATTTTATGTCCGGCATGGCACATTGGATCGCTGACACATGGGGCTCCGTAGAGCTGCCCGTCCTGGGAAAAGTAAGCCCAAATTGTTTTTCAAATCGAAATCATTCACATTATAATATTTTTTCCAGCACTATTTACGGCCGTTTCGTGAGCACCACATCGATCCTACGGCTATAACAAGGCATGACTTCATAGAGACAAATGCCGATAATTTTATGATGCCTTTGCCAGCACTGATATATTTATTGTACGGTTTTATATACTTGCCGCCTCCTCAGCTCATGAGGACTTTCCCGTTTAGATGTTTTGTATTCCTTTTGGCGTTCTTCATATCAATTACCAATCAGGTAAGTTGAAATTTAATATTATCAATGGTGATTAATTTTTAAAACTCATTTAATGGACCTTCATAATTACATACTGTACTGTCTGAAGCCTTCAAATTATTGAACAAATTTGATAATCCATCATTCCTACTTTTAAATTAATATTGGCATGACGAAGGCTTATCGAAGAACAGCTTGCAAATAATTAATGTAAAGAAAAAGGCTCAATTAACTTTAAATTTATGTCTTGATCGATAGTTGTATGGTTGATATTGATATTATCAATCAATTATTCAATGAGACCTCTGTTTTTCCTTCTGAACAAAACTTTAAATTGATTGCACATTCTATTGTCAAGATAAACCACAGAATATATGAATTTAAAAAAAAAATTGTAATGCATTTATGCACCTAAAATGTCTGTGCACAATAAAGAAAACCCAAATTTGCATCAATGAAATTATAAACATAATATTCTCTATTATTCTGTACAGAAAACAATAAACAAGTCAAAGAAGAAATTATGCTTATTATTGAAACTTGATTTGTAACATAAATTTGTATTTTTATATCCCATAAGGTCTTGAAAGTTGGTGGAACAAAATTTTTAAAAAAAGCAGATGATTCTTGTTTAAAAAATGCAAAATACTTATTTAATTGGTGTTTTTTATAAGCAATGATTAAATCATTTATTAACTTACAATTAATTAAGATTTTTAGTTGGGATAAAAAAGTCAATGGTACAAGCGGGATTCGAACCCACGATCTTCGGCTTGATACGCCACTGCTCTACCACTTGAGCTATTGTGACCTCGATCCACTCGGACACTAACTTCCCATCTCAACCCCACCTTTCGAATTTTCCCTCCTTTTTGCCATTTTTTACTTTTTTATCTCAACTAAAAACCTTAATTAATTGTAATATATTAATTGGTCAAGCGGACCACGAAATTAGTGAATTGAATGGAATCATTTATTAACTCTTATATTTACTTGTTTTAAGATTCATAAATGGTCCCACACATATTTCGGACTGCCGAAATGGGTGGTGTTGCTGCAGTCACTCCACATAATTCTACCTCGCACCCATCACCGCTACCACCATGTGGCACCTCATGAGACTTACTATTGCATAACGACTGGTTGGCTCAACTATCCCCTAGAGACGATTAGATTTTGGCCCACACTCGAATCGGTAATAACAACCCTCACAGGTGCTAAACCGAGAGCTGACGACTTGAAATGGGCACAGATGAGGTTTGAGAAGAGCGAGAAATAAAAATAAATTCGCACACTAATAAAATTTTGCTACATGTGCCTTCATCACCGTACTACATTGAAAATTGTGATGTATTGAAAAGAAAAACTAGATAAACTGTCGCTGATCTAAAGCAACTCGCCGCAACACTATATTTGTATAAAATAAACACCTGCTAATAACAAATATAAGCATAATGTTTTAAAACAATTAAAATGTTATCTAGGGTGTTTGAAATGATTAATTTATTGAGCTGTATGAAAACATTTTTATGGGGAAAGATCATTTCATTATGTTCAAATTTGTGGAATTTTGTTGAGCGGTCTGTGAGGTTTATCTGCAGCTTAAACATACTCAATAATGCAGGCCTGCTACTGTTTGTAACAGTCAAATATTTCTGTGATTACTCTGTAAATTTGACATGTGAAACGTTCTATTTTGTTAGAATCTATCAGCCTATATAAAAGCGAGTGTTTTTTGTTTTTTTAAATAATTATTAAAACTCTAGTTAATGCATCAGTCTGTTGCACATTGTGTGAACGGGCTTATCAATATAATTACATTTTGTACATTGTAAATCTACGTACTTCAATAAAACCAGCATATCAAGCAACCAAATAACAAGCTTGTTTAAAAGTCTGAAAATAATTTTAACTGCTTGGTTAACACAAACAATAGAAAATACAATTTAATTAAAAATTGTGGCATTTGAAAATATTTTTAAATAAAAAAATTAATTTTTTTAAACAAAAAACTTAGAACTATATCCTGTGATGAATCCTCAATTATTAAAATTTTTGCAGTAAAACTCACTTTTATACATTTTATATATTTAAGAAACTTAGCACTTTCTTTAAATATTACACTTAATTGTTTAACTTTTTTATATATAAAATTTCTAATAGTAAAAATTTGATGGATAATGAACAGCATTACTTTTTTAATTTGAAAATTAACATATGAGATGGAATGTTGTAAATTTGTCATTAAAATAGAATAGAATTTATAAAAAATTTGTGTATATTTTTTATTATTAATTAATACGCCTATTTTTAAGACATCAGTCTCAATTTTTTTTATTTCTTATTATTACAGTACTTCACATTTGTCAGCCTCTGGTCCACAAAGCACAATTTGGAAAAGGAAAAGGCCATATGACTAAGCGTAGGTCATACAAAAATAACACCTTCTGGCCAGAAAGCGATCACGTAGATGTCCAATAAAATAAGCCGAGCACATTTTCAATTTTAGAAGGCTCGGTGTGTACAGTCAATATATCATTGTACCTGCACATAGTCTTGGCAGTGGGCACAGATCGCTATTTCACTTCCTCAGGGCTCTACAGATTTTTAAATGTATATAGTGTATGTATTTATCTATTAGAATGAATGTAATTTAACAATTTGAAAGTAAGGGGTTGTTTAACCCACCCCTAGGAATGTTGAGTACTCTGGTATGAGAGTGTGATGCCTGCAGAGTGAAAGTAAAGCGAGAATAGAGTGGGTTCAACCATGCCCCGCGGAATATCAAGTACTCTGGTGTAAGTGTGTGGTGTCTGGAGAGTAAAAGTAAGTTATTAGTGAGAACAGAGTGTGTTTTAAAAGGGGGCATTGGTGGGTGCAACAGTTTAGGCATTGACACAGCGGTCATTACTGTAAGGTAAAGGGACTGGATTCAAATCCAGCTGCCCTGCATTCGAACCTGGCCTACTTACAGAAGGGCTTTCTTCAAAAACACCGGCACCCCGAGGGTTCATATAACCTCATAATTGAAATACCCTCATTTAAAAAAAATGGAGTGGGTTCAATCCCACCAGGAGGAATATCGAGTACTCTAGGGTAAGTGTGACATCTTAAGAGGAAAAGAAAGTTATTAGAGAGAATCTTCTAGCTTTCAAAAATTATAAAACAATCCAAACACTTTTTTTCAAAATTAAAGATCTCACACCAATAACAAATAAATCTGACGTAATCTACAAGATCAACTGTTTAAACTGTCCAGCAACTTACATCGGTCTTACATCCCAATATCTGGACAAGAGAGTAAAGCAACACATCTATGATTGCAAAAAACCCAAGCAAAATCCTACAGCACTCGCTACCCACCATTTTGAACACCAACACAATTTCGACTTCAAAAATCCAAAATATTAAATACATAACAAAACAAACATAAACATAATTTCTTAGAAATAGTTTATATCAACAGAGTTAAACACAGCATCAATTACAGAACAGATACATGTACACTCAGTCGCAGCTACGCCAATATCATTAATCAAATTCAATATAGATAACATACATATATCATTACATTACATTCCACAATCAAATATTTTTCACATAGTCTAATTGTCCAGCAATTTAGCTTTCCTTTTCCTATTTATCCCTTTCTATATAATCCTGAAAGGATAATCTGACCGAACCATTACCAACGTTTTTTTCCCTTCGTCGGCTCTTTTCACCTCAAAGAAGCCGACGCCTTATTCAAAAATGTCTTTTCTATACCGACTTCCTTCCCCACCCCTTCAAAATCCAACGTATATAAACATAAAACAGCAAAATCTCACTGGCACTCTCAACACGACACGCAAGAATGACACAATTACACAGAAGACAAACACTTTGAGTGAGTAGAAATACTTTGATTGAATATAAAAAATATATTTTGCATTGTATAAATTCACTTTTCCACATCCTAAATGTATTTGTTAAATGTAAACAATGTTTGTAAATCCCAGGCCCTGAAGATGATCTCAATAAAGATCGAAACGTTGGCACGATAAAGAAAATGTTTTTCTGAAACCTACATCACACCAGACCGCATTTCACGATTTCTGAATAATTAGAGAGAATAGAATGGGTGCCCCAATATTGAGAATTCTTGGGTGAATGTGTGACATTTGCATAGTAAAACGAAGTAATTAGCAAGAATGGAATAGGTTCAACCCCACCCTGAGAAATATCGTACTCTAGAAGAGTGAGGGATCAGACTTCTAGGTCTGTGGTGATTGTAGTTCACAATCTGATGTACAAATGAGAGGCTATCATTTTTGGATGGACTAAGTTTTTATATAAAAGCAGAGTCAGTAATATTATGCTCAAATGGCTGCATGTTGAAAAATATGGGTTTAAGATCAGAAAAAGAAGTAAAAAGGCAGAGCGATGACCTCAGCTGTTTGTCAACCCTTTATTATTATTAGAAGTGGTTCACATAGTAAATTAATTAAAATTGACTCAGTTCAAGGGAAGAATGAGTAGGTATAAAAAATCAAGATTCATGTACTTTTTTATTTGTAATTAAATAAAAACTAATTTGTCAGTCACAGTAGGTTAAAAGCTAAGAGGAACTTGCTTATTTGTGTAATTTAATTTATATTGCAATTTACATTTCATGATTGTTTTTTATTACTTCGGCTTTTATAATTAGATTCACTATACATAATATATACAAATCGCTGATGTAACAAACGTTAAGGTCTGTATCGCAGTATTTAATAGGGAACTATGAAAATGTGATGACATTAAAAGAGAAAAGTGCATTTCTCATTTAATAATTAAATTACATGGAAGACAGTATTACATGGAATTATATAAAAAAACAAAGATTTAATAATGATTCAGTATGAAAGGTGTTTTTTTTCCATTAGATTGAAGGGACCTATTAAAGTAAAATATTGTCAAAAAATTCGAGCGAAATTGGGTAGATAAAAGTTAAGAATAATTATTATTTCAAATGTAGGTTTTTTTAATGTAAATTGAACATTACAAAAGTACTGAACTAACTACAAATTAAAGTTTATGATACTGAACGTTGTATGTAATCAATTTATTTGCATACAAAAGAAAACAAAATTTTTAAATTAACAGATGAAAATGGTAAACATGAATTTAAATAAAGATCTAGAACATGCATTTCCGTAAACTTAACCTGTTTTGGCAACAATCGAGGAAATTTATTCATTAAAAGAAAAAAAAACATGGATTACATTATACAAAACAGATGGGGTTGGAGCATAGATAACAGGAGAGATTATTCATGGTATTTACAAAATTATAAAAGACTAGAGATAAATTGAAGCTGACTTGGCAACATGTTAGTCTGGAGTGCCGCCACCCCCAGACTGGGCACAAGCTGTTTCCTGGTTCGTTTGGATCTTGTCAAAACATTTAGTGCCCCTGCTGGGAATATCAACAGGCTCAAACCTACAACAAAAACAATTTATAATATTTACATAGTACTTTGGTGTAATAATCTAGTTCTTTGAACCATAACTGGTACATTTAAATAAAACCCTGTACATTTAAATATTTTGAAATATGGGATCTGTAGCATGAAGAATATGTAGTTTGGTTGTTATGGACCAATTTTGGTCTGCCTATCCTCACTGATTTGGTTGTCAAATGCTTTTTGGCATTTTACATTTTCTGTGTAAACACTTTTAGTAGTAAAACGCTGACACATGTCTGACAGACCAACAAATGATGTAAAACAATTTGAAAAGTCTACTGGGTGCTGAATTTGACCTTAGACTTCATTTTTAATTTTTTAAATCGACGAACTGATCAGGTCTTCTTCAATGTATCGTGAACAATTTGCTTGCCAATTCTGAACTCAGTGGATATTTTTTTCAGGCTTTTCACATGAGTTATTATTAATATTTTTTTACTGTTGTTAATGCAACACATTTTCTTGCAAAAGAAAAAACTACTAGCACGCACACCCTGGGTTAATTGAATCCCAAAGACTACTGAACCTCGATTCTACTGTATTTACAAGCTTTGTTCTTTATTTACCTTGCTTGCTGAATAATTAAACTGCTAAATCTTTTTGCTGGAGGTTCATTTTCTTCTAGTTCAAATTTTCTTTTTACAGAATTGCCAAGAGAAGATGGCTTCAATCCGATAGGACTTTGACTCCTTCTGAAATACAATAGTGTTACATATGCTGATTATTTAAATTATAAAATTAAATAATCCGGAAATTTACCTAAATTTACTAGTTGGACTTGGTGTAAGGCTAGTTTTAAATGTTGTAAAATGCCTTAAAGGCGTTGTAGGTGAAGGAGTTGATCTTAAAGGTGGTGTGCAGCCAGCACTAGCTATAGAGAGGTTAAGCGGATCTACTTTTCCAGTTTTTGAATTATTGCCTTCTTCATTCTAAAAGAGAAAAAAAAATATATAAAAGGTTTTGTAAATAATTTTATATAGATACTCTTACCTTATTTGGTTCGGTAACGAGTGTCAGGTCTTCCCAAGATTGAGACATAGCCATGGCGGAGTTAAGCTCCCGTTCGTGGGCAGCTTCTCTCCCGAGGACATCCACACTCTCTTCTCTCCTTAGCTGGTTCACCCTGTGAGTCATTTTCGGCGACGAAGGTCCAGATAAAGGGGTGCAACTGGTGCTGAACCGTCTTGTCCGAACAACTCCAGAAGGACATATTGTAGACATTGCAATTGGTTCTCTGTAAAAAAATACAAAATCAAAAAATATATCTTAAGGTGTGGTGATTAGTGACCGTTAATCGATATTTATTTAGAAAAAAATTTATTTAGATAATTCCCACACCAATAACAAATAAATCTGACATAATCTACAAGATCAACTGTTTAAACTGTCCGGCAACTTACATTGGTCTTACATCCCAATATCTGGACAAGAGAGTAAAGTAACATATCTAAGATTGCAAAAAACCTAAGCAAAATCCTACAGCACTCGCTACCCACCATCTTGAACACCAACACAATTTCGACTTCAAAAATCCAAAAGTATTATACACAGAACAAAACAAGCATAAATGTAATTTCTTAGAAATGGTTTATATCAACAGAGATAAACACAGCATCAATTACAGAACAGATACATGTAAACTCAGTCGCAGCTATGCCAATATCATTAATCAAATTCAGTACAGATAACATACCTATATCATCACATTACATTCCACACATCAAATATTTTTCACATAGTCTAATTTCCCAACAATTTAGCTTTCCTTTTCCTATTTATCCCTTTCTATATAATCCTGAAAGGATAATCTGGCCGAACCATTACAACACATTTTTTCCCTTCGGCGGCTCTTTTCACATCAAAGAAGCCGACGCCTTATACAAAAATGTCTTTTCTACACCAACTTCCTTTCCCTCCCATTCAAAATTCAACGCATATGAATATAAAATAGCAAAATCTCACTGGCACTCTCGACACGACATGCAAGAATGGCACAATTACACAGAAGACAAACACTTTGAGTGAGTAGAAATACTTTGATTGAATATATAAAAAATATATTTTGCATTGTATAAATTCACTTTTTTCCACATCCTAATGTAATTGTTATATGTAAACAATGTTTGTAAATCCCAGGCCCTGAAGATGATCTCAATAAAGATCAAAACGTTGGCACGATAAAGAAAACATTTTTCTGAAACCTACATCACACCAGACCGCATCTCACAATTTCTAAATAAATATATTTTAAGGACTAAAGGATGTTTTATACATTTCTAATAATTTTTACATTATATCTTACACTTCCTAAAAATTTTACATCCCAAACAACAATTTTTACTAGTTTCTACATGAAAAAAGAGGATTTTGTCTAATAGCCCTTCAAAATGAAGAAAATAATATTTAGAAAAAGCCTATGAACTCTTAGTAGCAGTGTTATCATAGTTTCTGCCAAAAACAAAATGTTTTCAATGTTATTCGTACTTCGGCCTGTTCCAGAAAGCATGTTATTGACCCAGAGCATAATTCTCTACATCTAATAATTATCCATTTTATAGAATTCAAAAACAAAATGTAGTTTATCAACTGGTGCTCTTAGTTGCTTATTTTAATTAATTATACGTTTTATATAAGGACTTAACTGAGATGAAAAATGGTAAAATTGAAAATATGACGAAAAAAAGAAGGAAAATTCAAAAGGTTGTAGGTTGAGATGAGGAATGTAGGAGTGGATCAAAGTCACTATAGCCCAAGTAGTAAAGCAGCGGCGTATTGAGCCAAAGGTTCGAATCCTGCTCGTCACACTAGCTTTTGCATCTCCACCAAGACCTAGATAAAAAGTATAATTAATTAATATAACAGATTATTATGAAGTTATTATACAGGGTAATCAGCTACTTGTACGACTAATTGTTTGTTTCTACACCTCCAATGTAACAAAAAAAGTTAGTTCGAACCATGATCCGATTCTCAACCCTTTTGCAGATATTCAACATTTTATGTTTTTTTCAACCAACTACGGTTTTCATTTTCATCATAAATCTCCTCATAGGTCTTGAACTTGCCAGAATATAAATTACAGATGGAAAAAAACTCATGAAAATTTCTGCACTAATTTTGTAATAATAAAAAACAAAATCCGTTGTACGTCTTTAAATAAGCATGGCCACAAGGAAATAAATTCTAACTACAATTATATATAAAATGATGGAATACCAGCAGTTTTGCTACTTGCGGACTTTCAGCCACAATTAAGGAAAACTTGGTAGTTAGATTATTTTTTTTCAAAGGCAAAAACCATAGAGTATGGTAAGTTGTAAACGATTTGACCCCTTAGGAAACTTGCCTGATGTTAAAGTATCATTGCAAATTTGATATTTCCAAGCAATTCTACCAAAATTTTGCAGAGTTTGCCAAGAAATAAGGGTTTTGAATGTGAGCTGTACTTCTGATATTGTTCCAGCTGGTCCTGAGCTTTATTCTCGACAGCTTATTTGTTGTTTTAGCAAAATACCTTTCATCTTTATAAATATATATAGTGCAAGACCTGGCATCATGGTCATTATTGAAAAATAGCTTTATCTATAAATGTCAATGTTATTACTAATTTCGAAAATTAACCAATGTATGAGAAGATTGTGGTGACAAATTAATTTTGCTTAAAATGAATAATTAATTTGATCCTACCAGAAAAGAACAAGGACGTTCCAATGCTGGGAACTCCGATCCTCAATCAGATGCCCTTACTTATTTATTCAAGACTTCATACCAGGGCTATATGCTATCACTCATAATGTTTTAAAAGTAAAACTTCAAACACCAATAAGTCACTATCTTAAAAAATTTGATTTCCAGAACTTCATCTAATATTATTAGATCCTCACATGTAAGATGCCCAAAGCCAAACCAAGTGTGAATATTTATACAAATTTTATCTAAATTCCAAGAGAAAAGTTTTGAACAATACTAACAAACATAACTAGTGTACCAAAGTCAAGTGCCTCAACCTTAGGTTTACCGATAGAAGAGGGTTTGTATGTTTAGTATGTATACTGAGATTTATTCTACAGTAAAATTCTTCAATAAAGATCAAGCAATTCTGCAACAGGAAATTTTTTTGGGGACTTAATGCACCTGCTTATAACCTTAATCTAACTAATCAGATCCATGTGCTTTTTACTTTTTTTTACCAATAAAAAGACATGGTGTCGTGGGCACAGAAGTACATTACTTTTTTTTTATGCTGAGCACAAAAAAGAAAAAAAAACGTAATATACTTCTGTGCCCACGACACCATGTCTTTTTATTTCCCCATTAAGGTTTAAGTAAGATATATAAAAATTTTCAATTTTTGGGCATTTGTTTTTTCATGTTTTAATTGTTGTTTTTATATCATAATAAAACAAGCCCTGAAGATGAGAGTATAAAAACTGTCGAAAGCTCGGTGAAAACCGAAAGGAAGTTTTTCTCTGTGTTGACCTCTTCCGTAGACCCTCTGAAAAAACTTCAAAAATTTTTGTGTTTCTGAATCAAAAATGCCCCCGAAATCCATCTTTTCAATAAAACAAGTAAAAAGGGCATGGGTCTGATTAGCTCAAACATATCCTAAATGAAGTAATAAATAAATAAAATTAAAATTAAACTAAATAAAATAAAAAAAACAGCCCAGAAAAAAAAGAAGAAAGATGTTTGTTGATGATATCATCTCCTTCAAAAACTCTAGCAACCAAGAGTTTTGCCCAAAATCAGATATTTTTAAGCGATTTGCACCTTGAAATGTCCCAGCAGGATACAGGATTGATCTTGAGCTTTATTATTATTTATTTTTTTAATTGTGTTAACATTTCATCAAATTCAATGTATGTCTTAGTAAATAGGTGTTTTAATTTATTTAAATTTATCTGGACTTGTTGCTACTTATCACAGCTCAGACCGACACTTATCTAGTTATACATACAAATGAAATTAAATCTCCCTAAATTGTGTTAAGGGAAAATCCCAAAAGGGTGGATGAACGTTGAGATATGTGTCAGCATTTTCTGTCAGACTGGGTGATACTGCAAAATCAGGTCTCTTTTATAAGGGTGCAGTGCATGTACTGGCATTATGGTTGTTTGCTAGTGCCTTTAGTGGACAAGACATAGGGTGGAGAAACCTAACTGGAACAAACTAGTCTTGCCTCTCCATGCTTATATCCCTGATGCCAAGCCGAATAAGAAAAAAAAGGTGAATGGTTATTAATTCCGATGCACTTCAGCATTTCACCATCTTCAGTGTATTTGTGTGATTCTGTGAAATCCAGTGTCAAATGGTCGTGAGAGGTGCATGTTTGGCATTGTTTTTTTGTCAGTGCCTTTAGTGGATAAGACATAGGGTAAAGAAATCTAACTGGGACAAGTCAGTGTCTTGCCTCTCCCTGCTTACAACCCTGATGCCAAGCCAAATAAGGAAAAAAGTGGATGGATGTTAATTGAGATGCAATTCACCATCTTTAATGTGTCTATGTAATTCTGAAAAATCAAGTCACTTTGTCTCTTTTATAAGGTTGTGAAGGGTGGGGTCATGGACTGGCATTATGTTTGTTTGTCAGCGCCTTTAGTGGATAAGACATAGAGCACAGAAGTCTAACTGGAACAAGCCAGTCTTGCCTCCCCCTGCTTATAACACTGATTCCAAGCCAGTGTTTTCTATTCATGTTGTTATAATTTTATGTGCTTATTGTGTTAAGGAAAAATCAAAAAAGGATGGATGGATGTTAATTCAAACATATTTCAGCATTTTGCCCTCTTCAGTGTATTTGTGTGATTTTGTGAAATCAAGGTCTTTTAAATGGTCGGGTGGTGCGAGATGTATGTGCTGGCATTATGTTTGTTTGTCAGTGCCTTTAGTGGATAAGACCATCGATATAGAAATCTTACTGGAACAAGCCGGTGTATTGCCTCTCCTTGCTTATAACTTTATCTTCAGAGTATTTGTGTGATTCTGTGAAATCAAGTGTCAAATGGTCATGAGAGGTGGGGGTGCACACGCCTCACCCTCCTTATAATCCTGATGCCAAGCCAAATAAGGAAAAAATGTGGATGGATGTTAATTCAGATGCATCTCAGCATTTCATCATTTTCAATGTGTCTGTGTGATTCTGCAAACTGAAGTATCTATTATAAGGTTGTGAAGAATGCGATGCATTTTTTGGTTTTATGTTTGTTTGTCAGTGCCTTTAGTAGATAATATACAGGTTGGAGAAATCTAACTGGAGCAAGCCAGCCTTACCTCTGGCTCTCCCTGCTTATAACCCAGATGCCAAACCAGTGTTTTCTAGTTGTTGTTATTTCAGATGCATTTCGTTTTCTTCAGTTATTTGTGTGATTCTGTGAAATCAAGTGTCAATGGTCGTGAAAGGTGGGGGTGCACACGCCTCACCCTGCTTATACCCCTAATGCCAAGCCAAATAAGGGAAAAAAATCTCGATGGATGTTAATTTCACCATCGTCGATCTCAGCATTTTACCATTTTCAATGTGTCTGTGATTCTGCAAAATCAAGTCTCTTTTATAAGGTTTTGAAGAATAAGATGCATTTTTTGGCTTTTTGTTTGTTTGTCAGTGCCTTTAGTGGATAAGATACAGGGTGGAGAAATCTAACTGGGACAAACCAGTCTTACCTCTGGCTCTCCCTGCTTATAACCCTGATGCCAAACCAGTATTTTCTAGTCACGTTGTTATAATTTTATGTGCTTACTGTGTTAAGGTAAAATCATAAAAGGGTGGATGTTAATTCAGATGCATTTCGTTATCTTCAGTTATTTATGTGATTCTGTGAAATCAAGTGTCAAATGGTTGTGAGAGGTGGGGGTGCACACGCCTCACCCTGCTTATAACCCTGATGCCAAGCCAAACAAGGAAAAAATGTGGATGGAATTCAGACGCATCTCAGCATTTCACCATTTTCAATGTGTCTGTGTTATTCTGCAAAATCAAGTCTCTTTTATAAGGTTGAGAAAAATACTATACATTTTTTGGTTTTATGTTTGTTTGTCAGTGCCTTTAGTGGATAAGATACAGAGTGGAGAAATCTAACCGGAACAAGCCAGTCTTACCTCTGGCTCTCCCTGCTTATAACCCTGATGCCAAATCAGTGTTTTCTAATCATGTTGTTATAATTTTATGTGCTTATTGTGTTAAAAGGTTGGATGTTAATTCAGATGCATTTTGTTATCTTCAGTTATTTGTGTGATTTTGTGAAATCAAGTGTCAAATGGTCGTGAAAGGTGGGGGTGCACACGCCTAACCCTGCTTATAACCCTGATGCCAAGCTAAATAAGGGAAAAAATGTGGATGGATGTTAATTCAGACGCATCTAAGCATTTCACCATTTTCAATGTATCTGTGTGATTCTGCAAAATCAAGTCTCTTTTATAAGGTGCATTTTTGGCTTTATGTTTGTCTGTCAGTGCCTTTAGTGGATAAGATATAGGGTGGAGAACTCTAACTGGGACAAGCCATTCTTACCTCTGGCTCTCCCCCCTTATCACCCTGATGCCAAACCAGTGTTTTCTAAGCAAATTGTTATAATTTTATGTGCTTATTGTGTTAAGGTAAAATCATAAAAGGGTGGATGTTAATTCAGATGCATTTCGTTATCTTCGGTTATTTGTATGATTCTGTGAAATCAAGTGACAAATGGTCGTGAGAGATGGGGGTCATGTGTTAGCATTACATTTGTCAATACTTTAAACGGCCCCTGTGTAGGAATCCAACTGGGACGAGTCAGTGCCTTGCCTCTCCCTGCTTATAACCCCGATACTAAGCCAGTACTATCTATCCATGTACTAGTCGTTTTATATGCTTTTTGCATTTAGGAAAAATCGGAATAGGTCGGACACACGTTTCTTCCCACATTTTAGGATGAATTTCTGTCCGAGGTCTTAAAATTGAGGGGCCGGCGTTGTGAAAACGACTGCGATCCCTGTAGAAACGCTAAGCACCAACGCTAAAGTGCACAATTTTTAAGTCTGAGCTTTAAGAAGGAAAAAAACCTTTTAATCCATCTCGTCTGTAGGGTACTGGGTTACCCCGAGAGTCGTTCGTCTAGGCGAGAATTGGCTTACCTATTGGTCGGATGGCTCTGGGGGCTCTGCGAGGACGGCGAATTGTTCAATTCGTTGATCATAGGCGCACTCGAGGATCGTTTCAGAACCAGAGGATTATCAACATCCATTTTCATGCTCGCACCCGATGCCATCTCGAATCGGCCGGGTGAGGTCGAAAATACATCACAAGTCGAAAAGCCGAGCGACGACGGGGCGGGGAGGCGACGTCCGAGCTGCTTCGCTCTTTCCTGCTTATCCGTCCCAAAGTGCAACTGACGAGACCTGCTCGCTTCGGGAAGGCTGCTGCCTCCGACAAAAAAAGACCTGCTGATCTTCTACTCGGTGAGAGTCCGACTCGGCTCGGACTGGCCTTTGTTGAAACTTCTCCCGTCGAAAGCGGACAAATGATGCCATACGTTTCTCCCATGCTAAAGTATTTTCCCCTCTTTTTTCTCTCTTTTATAATTTCAAAATATTTACTCTTCTTCTATTTAGCAAAAAGTTCGTTAATTAAAAAAAATTGGAAACAAGTCTTGTAATTTTGGGCAAACTATTAAAAAAACACACACCTTGCCCAAAAATAGTAAATTTCGAATAACTAAATAGTTCAAAAAGCTGGTATTGTTAACTATACAAAGCAATTAAATATACAAAAATTGTATATTGTGACTATTAGCTAAAAAAATTGTCTAATAAAGTGATAACATGTATATTGACATAATTAAATACATATTATTATTCAGAAATCGTGAGATGCGGTCTGGTGTGATGTAGGTTTCATAAAAACATTTTCTTTATTGTGCCAACGTTTCGATCTTTAATGAGATCATCTTCAGGGCCTGGGATTTACAAACATTGTTTAAATTTAACAAAAACATGTAGGATGTGGAAAAAAGTTAATTTATACAATGCAAAAAAATGTTTTGTTTTTTTTCAATCAAAATATTTCTACTCCTATTCCTCTATGTTTTTGTTAAATTTAAACAATGTAAATCCCAGGCCCTGAAGATGATCTCTGAAGACCGAAACGTTGGCACGATAAGAAAATGTTTTTATGAAACCTACATCACACCAGACCGCATCTCACGATTTCTGAATAATCATCGACTAACGGTCACTAATCACCACACAAATAAATATTATATAAAAATCCATTAGATTTGTAATCATTTGAATATATAGGCTGATATACTAAATTTCAAAAATACATAACATATCCATAGGTCAATGTTGGACAAAAATGTGTTATTTATCGACAGGTTGTAATTTTATGATTCCAAGAGGAAATTAAATTAATTAGACGAACAGTAGAAATAAATTTATAGGATAGATATTTCACCGTGTAACATTGCGGAAACAATATTTATTTTCAATTGATGATTGGTCCAAAATGAAGTAGTGTCTTTTCTGCCAAGTTTTCCCTTTTTATTAAGCCTTCCTCCCTGAATAATTAGCTTAAAAAAATAAGTTTTTACCGGTTAACAAATAAATAACTTAATAAGTAATTAAATACTTTGATTGAATATAAAAAATATATGTTTTGCATTGTATAAATTCACTTTTTTCCACATCCTACATGTATTTGTTAAATGTACAATGTTTGTAAATCCCAGGCCCTGAAGAGGATCTCAATAAAGATCGAAACGTTGGCACGATAAAGAAAATGTTTTACTAAAACCTACATCACACCAGACCGCATCTCACGATTTCTTATTTATTAAGTTATTTATTTTTTAAATTATTTATTTGTTATCCGGTAAAAACTAAATATTGTATAAAGTAAAAACATAAGAACAAAAAATGGCCGAAGTACCTAATCGTGCAGCTTTTATTTTCATTTTATTTATTTATTTTTGTTTGTTTTTTGAACTAAACATCGAGCCCTGAAGTAGAAATAAAAAGCCGAAAACTTGGCAAAAAAGATACAACTTCATTTTGTACCACATACCTGATCCCAATCATCAACTGTTAATCATCGCAGGTCTTCACTTTTATTTTATTCACAATTTAAAATAAGTTTGTGAGACAAAAATTTTACTTTCACCGAATTCACTTTTAAAAAAGGGTAAAAAAAGTGAGAGGGTTTAAAAGTTTTGAGTGGAACAGGGAAACTTTTGTTGGCCGGGTGGTTACACTGGTCTCATGTTTTGGTGAAGTTTACTATTACGGTACTTATCCGATTCTCTACCTTTCTAGACTTTTATTGTTATTTCTAGCTTGTCTTTCCATCGGGCTAGGCGTATTTTTTTAATTTAAACCGAATTGAGCACGTCGACGTTTCGGGCCCGTCCTACGCTAGGAGAAGAACCGAAGCCAGGAGAACTTCGCCACCAGTAAATCGTTCAAATGCTAGCTTAGCCGACCTCTCTTCCAGGATTTTCGTGCCAAATTTTAGACATAAATATCTCAACAATGACAATGGGAGAAGAAACTCCAGTTACATCACTCATCATGCCCGTCCTGATCAGACCTATCCTCTCTCAGGTAAAAGATCAAACCGAGTTTTTTAAATGTTACAAACTGTCCCTGTTTATTCAGCCGGAATATTAGTTTTTCTTCCTTTTTACAGCTTGAGAGGAGGGACGTAGTAGCGTCTCAAACGCTCAGAGCCGCCTTGTCGAAGGTCGAAGCCGTCCACCCTGGCTTCACGTTTGACTTTGTTGTCGGTATCATGAAACATGCAGACTTTAGCGTTAACATGAACGAGAGCATGCTACGGCTACAAGGCGCTGCAACAGACATGGATGGTGTGTATGGAGTTTTTTGTTACTGGTAGTAAAAAGCAAAAGCAAATATTTTGTAAGGCTGGAGAGGTTACAACCAGCTTCGCTAGTTTGATCTGTCAGACGCTTTTTGGCATCATGCCTTCTTAATGTGGTACCCAACTCTAAAATTGGCCTGTTGCCAAAATGTTCGTGTCTGACAGATGAGGATAGGCAGACCAAAATGATAAGTATTGACCAAGTTAGACATTCATCGTTCCACAGATCAAATGAAAAAAATCTCACAATCATACATAGAAAAGAACTTATAAAGCTAGTGAAAACCACAAGGTGTTTATTGGGAAAAACCTTTGAAATGGCAACTTGCATGTGTTTTGTTTACACATATACTCAAAGACAAACAAACCAGACACTTGTATTTATTTGTATATTTTCCATAATAACTAGGTATAACGATTAATAATTGACTTAAAACATAAACACAACTTTAATAGCATGTTTTATTATTTCAACGTTTTATAATGGGACCGTGATAGCCGAGTGGTTATCTTGAGAGGCTCTCAGCTCATAGACCCCACTGACATGGGTTCAATTCCCACTGCCAACTCTGGCCTTTTTTATGATCCCCCCCCCCCAATACGCATATGCATAATAATCGTGTTTATTAAATTTAATTGTTCATTTCATTGGTATATGGTTCTGTTTGAACCACTGACACCATTTAAATTAGTTTGTCTGTAGTTCATTTGTCTGATTATGTCTCAGTTAAAATTCAGACTTGTAAAATTTATTGCTTTTTATAAGAAAATTATTTGATCACTCTGAAATGACTCCTAATTACATGTTTTATTAGAGACTACTGCAGATCAGTTATTTTTGTACACTACATATTCATTTTAACATATTAAAACTTATGAAACTCCCCAGTGTTTTGTAAAATACTAACCCGTGAGGTCATCAGTTGTGACGGTCTGAGGTTTAAATTGTAATAGTCTAGGCCACCTGTGATATCTCATGTGATTCGCTATTTTTTGTACAGAATGACATTGAATGGCCTATTTTTTTCAATCTAATATTAGGTCAATTAAAAATAAAATTTTGCCCTCTAGATCTACTTCACAATTTTTGGTTTACAAACAAGTAATTCACAGTAATGAATTGTTAAGCTAGTAATTGATAATTCATAGGGTTTATCTCAACTTGAGCTATTTTGGCTCTTGATGATTAATTTTTGAATGGTGCACCAGAAAATGAATTGTGTCTTTTGTGTAATTCTTTTGTCAGAGAGGACTCAACTTTCATAAATGAATGAATCATATCAGAGATTCGCTATTTACATTTAAATCTTTCAGCATTTACCAAAAACCTGCTTATTGAACTACTTAAATGTGACTCTCAAAATTTAATTAAACATGCTAGATTTTTTTGGCACTACTAAGAAAGGTTACTAATAAAGTTTAATATACAGATTTTTAAATGTTATACTATTCAGTTATACTTTGGCAGATGGAATTTTTTTTATCCCATATTAAATGTAATATTATTTTTAATTTGGTCGTTTCTGATCATTTAAACTACCCTTGCTGTTTTGATCTGTCAGGCGTGTTCCTGCATTTTACAATTTTCTGTGTTGGGTTAGTCAAATAAATCTATTCTTAACATCCTTTTTTATATGTTTATAGCAGTCGAGTATCGATTGACAAGGTCAGAGGATGCATTCCAAGAGTTGAACAGGAAGTCGGCTGCCTTGAAGAAAATTCTGAGCAGGATTCCAGATGAAATAACGGACAGAAAGACCTTTTTAGAGACCATCAAGTTAGTTAAAAAATCATAGACTGAAAATTCAAGTTTTTACATACAAATGTTTTTCTCCAATCTCAGGGAAATCGCAAGCGCAATCAAAAAACTGTTAGATGCTGTTAACGATGTCGCAGGTTTCATACCTGGATCAACAGGCAAGCAAGCACTCGAACAGAGAAAGAGGGAGTTCGTCAAGTTTTCTAAACGCTTTAGTAACACACTGAAAGATTATTTTAAAGAGGGACAGTAAGTTTGTTCTCACCTCTTTCTAACTTTTTCTTATTTAAACCATTAATTTTTATTTTTTTAATTTTCATTTCCAGGGGCAATGCTGTATTTGTAAGTGCACTTTATTTAATACATCAGACGAATATGATAATGGTTACTGTCAAGAGTAAATGTGAATAAACTTGTAAGAATAGTCGGCTCAGTAGATAATGTAAAAAAAATTAAATTATGATATAATAATATGTAAATGTATAAATTATAATTTATCTAATTGATGCTCATATCTTTAGAAGAATTTAACAATTTTAACATGTTATGTATATACCAAAACAATTTTAATAGTCCACTGATGTACATTGTAAATATATATATTTTAAACATCTATTAAAAGATAAATAAATGTTTTGTTTAGTAATTATTTTCATTTAAATTAATTAACTTGCTGATGGTAAATTTTTATTTTTCTACAATTTTTTGACCCTTGAACTATTCATAAAATTATACTGTAAAATTTTGGTTTGGCTACTGACTATAGAGCCATATCAGCTTTCAGTGTTCTCAGAGGACCAATGGGGTCTTGATGCTCTATAGTTTTCTCATGTACTCATTCATGGAAACGCACAACCCCATTCATGCAGACAGCAAAAATATATACAATATTTCCAGATTAAGTGTAAAGAAATACGCCGTTTACTTTAAAAATCGTAACACGGACCCAACCACCTACTCTCATGCACAAAGACTGTGACACTATGCGACCTTTCTCTACAAGCGGAACACTTGTTCGTGGTTTTAATTAGTTAATATGTATTATAAACCTAATATTAATAATAATTTAAATTAATTAAGGTTTTTAGTTGAGATAAAAAATTCAGTGTCACGAGCGGGATTTGAACCCACGATCTTTGGCTAGATATGCCACTGCTCTACCATTCGAGCTATCGTGACCTCGATCCTCTCAGACACTAACTTCCCATTTCAACACCACTTTTTGAATTTTCCCTCCTTTTTGCCATTTTTCAAATGTGTAATCTATTTGTTTTTCGGCGACAAATGAAATGGCCACAGAGAGCTTTAGTGAAGGTGTACTTCATTTAAACTTATTAACTTCACTAGTTTTGCGGTCCCCTTGACCAATTAATATCATTCAATTAATTAAGGTTTTTAGTTGAGATAAAAAAGTCAGTGTCATGAGCAGGATTCGAACCCACGACCTTCGGCTAGATATGCCGCTTCTCTACGACTTGAGCTATTGTTACTGATCCACTCAGGACACTAACTTCCCATCTCAACCCCCACCTATTTTTAATTTGCCCTCCTTTTTGCATTTTTTCAAATGTGTAATCTATTTGATTCTCAGCGACAAACGAAATGGCCACAGAAAGCTTTAGTGATGATATACTTCATTTTAACTTATTAACTTCACTAGTTTCGTGGTCCGCTTGACCAATTAATATCTTTCAATTAATTAAGGTTTTTAGTTGAAATAAAAAAAGTCAGTGTCACGAGCGGGAAAAATGGCAAAAAGGAGGAAAAATTCAAAAGGTGGGGTTGAGATGGGAAGTTAGTGTCCAAGTGGATCGAGGTCACAGCTCAAATGGTAGAGCAGTGGCGTATCTAGCCGAAGATCGTAGGTTCGAATCCCGCTCGTGACACTGAATTTTTTATCTCAACTAAAAACCTTAATAAATAAATGAAATGAATAATAAATAATGAAATAATAATAATATTTATATAAAGTGTGGTTGAGATGAAACTAAAAATCAATGAATAATTGCTGTGGTTCAGGAAAAGGATCAACTAAAACATAAATAATAATTAGATAATCCATTTGTTTTGATATTGCCTTAAGAATCTTCTCTACTGTAATTTAAATTTGTATGACATCTATGTCACAGTTTGGAACATTAGATGCAATATCGCATAAAATGACAATGATTTTAAGTTTAACTTTATAGTCAGATTAATCAATCCATTCTACAAAAATAAAATTCCAAAATATTTTGAGTATTCTATTATCAAAAACCAGCAGTGCTTCCACCCCTCCGAAAATCATAAATTGCTGTTACTTCCCCATGACTTTGAGCAATCGCCGTTACTGAAGAATGAGGTGATTGTTTTTTCATTTTGTGCTTGCGGTTAGTCAATTCATCCACCACACACTAAAAAATTGAACCGATTTAAATTATCATCATAATTTATCTAGCTGATGTTCCCAACCTTTGGTATACCACATTCGTATTTGAGGATCATCGGTAGTAGCTGGTGATGAATCCTTGGCATGTCGACCGCCTGTTTTATGCTAAGACTTAACCAAAGGTTGTTTATTATTACCTGAAATAAAAGAGTGAATCAATAGTTAACAGCCTGTATACTTTTATTTACCTGTGCAGTTGACGATATGATGTGCGTGCCACCGGCTGCCCCAACCACTATCCGCACGTCTCCTTCTGAGTTTAGTACTATAGAAGGGCAAGCTGAACTTAAAGGTCGCTTCTTAGCCTTGATGAAGTTTGCAGGAGATGGAGTTACGCCAAAAGAGTTGACAATGTTTGGGGCTGAGAAATCATCCATTTCATTGTTAAGTATTATACCTGTACTCGGTGAACCAATTAGTGATCCAAACCTGAAAAAAAAGTTATTAAAATGTTAAATAATAAAAAAATGTTCCCAACAGTTTGGAATTGGCAAAGTGAACACATAGATATTGAGGGAAATAAAAATTTCACTATTTGTACTTTTTAAATTATATAATATAGAATTTTTTTTTTGCTTTGATAGAGTTTAGCTGTAGATGTAAATTCAGGTATACTCACAATGTATTTATTGTGCTAGTTGCTGCAACAGCATCACCATTCGGAGCCAGTACAACGATGTTAATAGTTCCATGATCATCTTTTAAATAATAGTCCGCCCCATAAATATCAATACTTGAACTAGTATTTTGGGTGTTTTCTATCTTCTTTTTAATGAAAGTCCGAAAATGTTTGTCATTCAGTTTTGAAATAGCCTTTTAAAGTGAAATTGGTTAAAATTCATTTCAACTAAAATAAAAATAATTTTTTTTTACCTCAGACACATTTGTAAATTCCGGGTCGCCCAAGCCTGTCCTTAATGCATATCCGTACTTGAACGCCTCAGCTATTTTCATATAATTATGAGCGTTTGGCCTTGGATTAATCTTTAGCTGTCCATCAAGCACCGAAAGGATGAAAGCGAGTACGGCCCCACAGCCAGGAGGAGGTAAAGTGTGGAGGGTGTATCCGCCAGCAAGCTTTTGAGTGATGGGTGATGCCCATTTCGCTCTGACCGATTTACCTATATTTGTAGGCAACTGTAAAATATTTATTGGAATATACCTAAGATGAGTAGAAAATTGCAGGTACCTGTATTCCCATAAGTCTTGTTTTGTTATTATCCCGCCCTGTTTTTGGATGTCGTGGATGAATGCATCGGTCAGCACTCCATTGTAGAGAGCCCAGGGACCGTTTGGATCATTGGCGATAGTAGTAAGGGTTTGGGCAAGAGTTGGCATCCTCAACAAATCTCCACTTTTAGGTAATGATCCATTAGGTGCAAGGATTTCCCTTGTAAAAAAAATTTGAATTAAAGAAACAGCCATAAAGATGAAAAAAATTATTAAGGCAAATAATTTATTTTAGCTAATTGAACATAAATTATTATTATATAAATAAATACCTTAACGATGGGCTTTCGAGTATTTCTTGTTCCATCCCAGTACTTGAAAATGAAACTCCAAGCCTATGATTTACAGGGATTCCATTCAGACACATTGATATAGCTGGAGCGAAGAGATCTTTCCACGGTAACTTGCCAAAACGTTTGTGTGCCTCCCAGTAGCCCATGAGCTCGCCAGGCACTGCGACAGCCAGTGGACCTGAGATAAACTAGTTTCTTAAAAAGACATTTCAAAATTGACGGAAAGACTTGCCAACTGCTGAAAGTGTCGGCTTTCCTTTGTACATGTCTTTAACACTGGCGATTGGTGCGCTCTCCCTAGCATCGAGTGTTATGGCCTCTCCAGTCTCTCTGATGTAAATTGTCATGAACATACCGCCTCCAATTCCCATGTTCTGCATTCCACAAAGCCCTTCGCAAAGCAGGGAAGCGATTGCAGCATCCACAGCTGATCCTCCCTTTGATAGTATGTCCCTGAGTAAAAAAAAAAGAAAATTTATATATCACATTGTAGCATTGCAGTCAACAGAGAACCAAGAAAAAGTATAAAGAGATAGCCCAGCAAGAAGAGGCACACTACGACAAATCTTGCCAAAAAGGAAAATATGGTATTTTTAGCTTACCCCATTCCAACGGTATAAAGACTCAATGGTATGTATACGCATGTATTTAGTACATATGTATATATACATATAACGGTATGTTTATAGTATACGGTATAGGGTGGTGGATGGGAAAGAAAAAATGAAGAAAAATTACCAATTACTATCAGCAATAAAAAAGCTTCAAATCTTATAAGAAACAATAAATAAATTCATAATTAATTTATGATTGATATTCCTACAAACCATTTTTCAACCATTCCTAAAAAAAATTGTTTAACTTATCCAACCTTTTTTCGAGGGGCAAAAATATTTACAATTGATATATTGCTACAACCATATACATTTATGAATAAAAGTCAGAAAAGAATTTTATTTACTTTGTAAGATTTATTACTGTAAAATCCATTTGCACCCATTGATAACATAAAACATAAAAAAAGCAGAAAAGCAAACTACGATATTAACAGATAATGGAAGAATACAGAGTACTCCACCACCCTAATTTAAGAGTGAATGAGAGTGTGAATAGGTTCGGATCTGGGAACTGCATGTGTTGGTGCTGAATTGACCTAGCTGGTCCTTGGCTCCGTATAGAGAGCATGTAGGAATGCCATCTGATATAAAAATCACTTACATACAGTAATGTTAGTTTTATGTCCCTAGCATGTCCATTGCATGAATTGAGGTGATTGATTAGTGTGAATGGGTTGTGTTAGAGAGCCGATGGCAGAATATTCAGTACCCCATCCTCAATTAGATTAGATATATAATATGTGTAGGAACATTAAGTACTCCATCACCTTAATGATATGTAAATAGGGAAAAATGTATTTAAGAGTGAGTGAGAGTGTAAATGGGAAAATGATTACATTGGAGGCTGAAATGACTTAGCTGTAGACAACTCCCAAAACCTCAGTGGCTGGACAGATAAGACTGAGATCTGACCATAGACTGCCAACACCCAGGGTCAGTGCTTCTCGAGGCCTATTGTAAATTACAAAAGCAGAAAGATAGGCTCAACTCTGTACATGCATGTATGAATGTACATGCGAGTGCAGATTTGAGTTTATATAAATTGTAATCAGTGAATTAAATTAGATTAAAAAATATAGTATAAAGACAAAGGTTAGCAAAGCATGACTTATATTCAAGTACATACTTTATTGCATGTTTTAAAAGATGTAGTTTAACTTAAATCTATTCTGTTGTCTATACCTTCCAATAGCAGAGCATGGTTCTGTGTTGGTGACAACGGCAGCGGACTTGTAGTGTCCTTGCTCTGAGTTAGAGACTGGAAGCGGATCTTCCTCACTTGGAAAATCTAACATTCCTCGTCCTGCAATAACAACGTCGAAGGTCCTGCAAACGTTTCGGACAAGAATATAAAGCGCAAATAAACGGACTCTCCTGAAGAGCAGTCTTGTCATCACGTACAAGACGTACAGACCTCCAGACAGCTCAGGGCAATCTGTACGAATACTGGAGGATTATTAACAATTTTTCGAATCGGTTCGCATTTCGGTCAATTATTTTTTTTTTTTGTTCAAATCGGGGCGAACGGATTTTTCGAAATTGATTATTCGTAATTTACCGCCATTCCGCCAAACTTAACTGATTTTGTTTTTAGAAGTTTACATTAAGAGTGGGTGAATTGTGGGTTTTTGATTTTAAAGCTGAAAAAAATTTTAATTTTTTTTTTAATAACAAGCTGTTTTTTGTTTTAATGTGATTTTCAAAAAAACACATTTATCGCTCGTGTATAAAGATAGATTTATTGTGTCCTGATATTTATACTTTATTTAAAACAATTTACTCGATATGCTATTATTTTTAAGCAACTTTTAGTTTGTATTATTTATTGAAAAACGATGAAAATATTTTGAGGGGCTGGAAGAAATAATCATATTTCTAGAACTTTGAAAGTGAAACCTCCAAATCACAACATTTGGGTTTGTACCGTTGACGTGGACCTAAGTGGAAGAGCAGTCCACTTTTTCTTTCCGTTGTACGTTTATTTCTGGCAAGACCGTCCACCGAATAGACCGAAATGGTAAGAACTTAGCTATTAACCATACATTTATTGATTTTAGTTTTCCTCAAATACTTAAAATCTAAGCTTGTGTGGATAAATTTGAACTTAATATTCTAACAGAAATTTTTATTCCTTAAAACCCATTCACTTTTTACTGCCAGGTAAATTTCACAATTTTTACTTATTATGGAAAACGATTTTTTTTAAACAACACTAGTATTTTTTTAGATTAATATAACATCTTACTCCTTAGAAAAATTATACTCAAAGCAACCATGTCTAGCAATCTGAAATGTGTCGTACTACATTTTACTTAAAGTATCTTTAATCGACCACCTGTTCATCAGTCAGGTATCTGGGTTAAAATGAATAAACAAAATTTTCAGATTCATCTGTAATAAAACTTGAAAATAGGGGGAAAACTTACTCCAAGGTTTCCTCCAAAAATCCAAGGAAGTACAAGCTGTTGGTACTTGAGAATAATTGAGTCTTTAGTAAGATGTCAACAAGTGATTTTTGCACAATTTCGTTTAAAACTTGGTCATCACGGTGCCCAAAACAGCCAGAAACATTAATGAAGTCTGGGGCGATGGCAGTGTGAATGAGTGCATTGTTTAAAGATAGTTTCAAAAATTTCAAGAGACTTCATTAGCCTTGAAAACAAAGAAGGTCGTGGAAGGATTTCGTCCCTAGATGATGATGTTCTGCGAATTTTGGTCGAAGAAAATCCTAGAACAATTCTTCGAGAACTTATGGAGAATCAATCTAAGTCAATTGGAAAGGTGAAAGAGCTCGAAAGTTGGGTTCCTCATGCATTAAGTGACCAAAAAAAATCACCATTTTTAAGTTTGCGCAACACTTCTTTACTGAAACAGAAACGAACCTTTTCTGGATAGAATTGTTACTTGTGATGAAAAGTTTAACCCCCCCTTATAACAGCAGACGTTCTGTGCAGTGGCTCGGCAAAGGAGAAACAGCCCCGAATTTTCCAAAGAACCCAAGTCGTCAAAAAAGGTGATGGTGACTATTTGGTCGACTTCATTAGGGCTGACTGACTATAGCTCCTTGAATCCAGGCCAAATAATCAATGCTGAAATGTATTGCTCTCAAATTGAAGCAATGCACCAGAAATTGGCATTATTGAAGTCTACAGTGGTCAATCGGAAAAGGCCCATTTGTTACATGACAGCACTCGGTTCCATGTCTCACATATGACAACAGGAAAAGTGTTAGATTTTGGTTATGAGGAAGTTCTGCCTCACCTTCCCCATTCTCCGTACATCTCGCCTATTGACTACCATTTTTTCAGACACCTGAACATATATAAAAAATTTATTGATCAAAAATCATTGGAAAATTCGTTCATAAAAATTTATTGTTCTTTAAATAACCATGATAATCCAAAATAAAAGAAAAAACTAGATATATTAATTATTTGTACTTTCATTTTTAGTTGGGTATGAAAAAATTCACCAGTTCGCAATTAAACATTGCTTATTTTAAGAAGCGTTATTAATTCATGATAATAATAATCTTTTAATCCCTTATTTTTATTAAATAATTCATAATCAACAATAAAAGAAAAACTAGATATATTAATTATTTGTATTTTATTTTTTAGTTGGGCATGATAAAATACACCAGTTCTCAATTAAACATTGCTTTTTTAAGAAGTGTTATCGGATAGTTTGTCCATGATGAAGACATGAAGATTCGATGAAGTAATGTGAAGAGTGAATCTATAACTCTATATAGCACTAATTAATAAAACATTTTTCAATAACGACAACGTTTTTGTTTCTTAATAAACATAGTGAAATTAAACATGAAAATATAACTTCTAATAAAAATTTAAAACTAGAGTTTCAAGAATTATAATACCGTAGTTTCCACAACTAAAAATGGCTAGTTTGTTCCTAAATTAAAAAAAATCTTAAATAATTTATTTACGTATGTTATGAGTTACACACATGTATGTTATGCATTATGTTCTGCGAGGAACATTAATTTATGGAGAGTTTAGATTTGAAGAGTCAGTGGTCACGACCAGTATTGGTCTATAGTTCATCTCCATTGTTGGGACTCATTAAGCTTACACTAGGCTTTACCAGATCGCAAAACTTTTTCGAGGACTCCCATGTGTATTCCTCAGTCCTGGGCTTTTCTTCTCCTTGGAGAGTACGTAGAAGCCTATGTAAATCTTCACACCGACAGAGAACATATCCTACTCTACAGATTCGTCATCCTCGATTTAGTAGTTCTGCAGTGGTCTTTTGATAAACTTTTTCGCATGCCTCTGTCCTAGGCTACTTGCTCACTGGGAGGACTTATTTTTAATCCATTGTCTGATGGATCCACATTTTTGGCAGTATGGGGTGTATAAAAAAGGGTTCAGGATCAATAGGTGTCCTCATCGAACTCGGCCAATTTCTCAACTTCTTTGTTGTCCCACTGGCCTGTGTGTCCTGGTACCCAGACAAGAGTAATTTTGTGGTTTTCCCCAAAGTTACAAAAGTGCCACAATGTAAGGACATAATAATATCAATTTATTATCCAATAAGCATAGTGCTTTTTTTAACTAGGTAATGTTTTAGGGGGCATCGGTGGCCGCAAGGTTTAGTCTTGACATGGCGCTCATCCCTGTAAGGTAAAGGTCCCAGGTTCGAATCCAGCAGCCCTGAATTCGAACGCGACATACTTACAAATGGGCTTTTTTTTAAAAAACACCGGCATCCTGAGGGTTTATGTGGCCTCTGCTGTGGCGAACCCTCGAAAAAAAATTAGTACTAAGTAGTGACTGAAGGAAAAGCAGTTAGAAAGAGAAATGTCATGATTGATTGAATTTTTTTTTCGTAGAGCAGATTTAGCAGGAATTCTTTAGCACCACCACCAGGCCATTTACAAAAACGATGAAGAGATAGATATAAATAAAAGCCCTGAGGCAAACCTGATGTGAGCATAAAGGGGCGTGATTTTAATGACTTTAATTTAACGCACAGGTAATCTCTTTTCAACATATGACAAATATCATCTCAGCATAAAATCACTAGCGCCACAAAAAGCTTATTGTATCGGAAAATGTACACAAGATCTACCTTCAAGTTATCAAGTATAAACGACTGGTAATAAGAAGATTGGTAGTAAAATCGACCCTTTGTAAAACAATGTATGTAATTTTGGAATATTAATTTATTGGAATAAAGGAGATTAAGTTTAACAAGTAGTTTACAAAAGGTTTCGCTATGAAACTCAAAATAGTGGTTGGTCTGAAGTATGCAATGTTTGTCTCAAATTTTAAAAATAATTCAATAGTTTTCGTGGTCCACTTGACTAATTAATATGTTTCAATTAATGAATGTTTTTAGTTGAGATAAAACAAGGAGGGAAAATTCAAAAAGGTGGGGTTGAGATGGGAAGTTAGTGTCCGAGTGGATCGAAGTCACGATAGCTCAAGTGGTAGAGTAACGGCGTATCTAGCCGAAAATCGTGGGTTCGAATCCCACTCGTGACACTGACTTTTTTATCTCAACTAAAAACCTTAATAAATTTAAAAATAATATGGCTGCATGTGAGACCCTCAGGATATGTCCCAAGTATTAGACATTTGTAGAAAAAATAGCCAAGAATGGGATTAAAGTTGAGTATAGTTTGGGAAGTATATAACGAAGACCAGGACTTTTGTCAATATCTAGAAAAAGCAGTTTCTCTTCAAAAACTGAAAACGAAAATAAATGAGGTCACGGTCCTTTCGTAAGTTGTGTTAGAAAAGAAACGTGATTGGAGACACATACAAACTTTATGAACATTTAGTATGAAATAAAAGTGTGCCTATAATTAGAAGCGTTTTGCACATACGTATAAACTGGTAAAATCTTGTATTAATTTTCTTAAGTAAGCATAGATGTTAAAAAAAAAAAAAAAAAAAAGTAATGTTAACTATGAGGTTATATGAATCTTTGGGATGCAGATATTTTTGGGAAAATAATAAAGCCTATTTGTAGGGGCTGTTGGATTCGAACCCAGGATATTCACCTTACAGTAAGCAATTTTACCACCTAAACGTTTGCGGCCACCGATGCCGCCCCACGTAGTGCTTTATTTTACAAATTGTTACTATATTTTAATAATTATATAATAAAAACAAAATTCAGTCAAATTAATTCTCACTCATTTATTTTTTTGAACAGTTCAACCAGTTTTTATTTCTCAATATCTTTCGGGCCAGTACACGGCCTCTTCCTCAGCCTTTTGTAATGTGGTAAATTTTACATTATTTGGTAAAAGCTATCAAGAAATAAAAACAATTCGATAAGATAAATGAGTAATTATTAAGCAAAGCGCCACCATACTTTCACACAGAACATATAAATTATCATTTCCTCCCCCCCCCAAAAAAAAAAACCTCCAGAAAAGAGAACATATAGCAGTATATGATTGAAAAATCTCTGAATGAAATCGGGCTTATTACGTACAAACTTTTAAAAAAATGTTACGTTTACAATTAATTTAAATTAATTATATTTTTTCTCCAATTTTGGTTGAAATGAAAAAGTTAGTATCATGAGTGGTATTGGACCTTCAACTCAATACGGCTAAATTCGAATGGATCGAAGTCACAATAGCTCAATTGAATCTTGCTTGTGACAGTAGCTTTTCATCTCAACCAAAACCTTAAATAAAAATATAATCAATTTAAATAATTAATATGGTCAATAATGACTACTAAATACATAATAATATGAATTTACAGTTAATGTATACATTACAATTCAGTTTGAATTTTCCCCAGATTTCTATTGAATTGCTCTTGTTTAATAGAAAGAAGAGTACTAAGTATATCTGAAAATTTATCTGACCAGTATCTAATTAAAAACCTTAGTTGCCAATGCATTTGTTTATTTAATATTTTACAGCCTGCATCAACAAGTGCAACCAGCGTGGGGTCTGGAAGTAGATCACCGACTAAAGTTGTAGCCCCGAGAACTGCTCCAGGAGGTGCAGTCCGGCAAAGGTAATTTGCTTTTGTTCAGTTTTACTGTCCAACACGATGGTCAACTAATCATTTATTTAATGTAGAAAAACGACCACTGTAACTGCAGCTAGGAGCCGGAACACTAGTGCCAACAGTGGTGGCATGTGGAGATTTTACACCGACGATTCTCCTGGCATCAAAGTGTACGTTTTGCTTTTTTTAATACGTAAAATTATGACTCATCTATTTTTTTCGTTTTCGTTATTACAGTGGTCCTGTCCCGGTTTTGGTCATGTCGCTGTTATTCATCGCTTCAGTTTTTATGCTCCACATTTGGGGCAAATACACGAGATCGTAATCGCAAAACAGAACTTTTTCCATTCCAAGTTTAAAGCATTTACTTTACGAGAGCATCAATTCAGGTCCAACACTGAGGGAAAATCAACTGGGGGGGAGGTGACTCTATTCGTATATATTTATTTATAATTTATTGTTATAATATAGTTTATATGAACAACTATATACACATTTATATAAAAATGAAATATATTAAAATAAAAGACCTTGTTTTTGAAGGATGGAAACATAAGATTTGTTTATATAATATAAAATATTGTAATAACATTTATTTAAAAAATCTTATATAAACTTTTTTTCTATAAATATTTACAGTGTTCTTTCCTTATCATCATTCCTAAGCTTTTTTTGATTTACAATAATTACAAAAATTAACAATACTATACATAATGGACAATGTTTGACAAAGGAAGACAAGGCCGAGAAATCGACCGTATTAACTACACAAAGAAAAAATATGAAAAAAAAAGAAAGATGTCTCAACAAACATCGACCCTTCTTCACTCGCAGGAAAATAATTTTATACCTTTCTCCTGGTACAGAATATCAAATATTGACATCAATAAAACCCAATATACAACTGAGAAAAAAAAAAAAAAAAAAAAAAAAATACCGAATGCCACTTCCACGTAGATTTTGAATTGGATTGAATGTGAAAAAATACGGCCGAGAGAGGTAAAGCAATAACAAGCTTTTAAACCAGACACCTTTCCAATTTTTAAATTTTTTCCTTCTTTTTAAACATTTCATAAGTAAAAGAAGCACCTATGAGAAAAGCCAACAAAAGATTAAATATTTTTACTAGACAATGTAAATGATATGTTAAGAAATGCACCATTAAACATTTAACATAAAAACGTTATAACATCAACGAATTGTCATAATTAATTACATATCTAATGTATAAAATATTGTTAGTACAATGTTAAAATCCCCCTTTGAACTCCAACAGCAATAATATTACAATGCATTTTTTTTAAAAATAATATGATCACAATTATGTCATACCATAAAAGAATGTTTTCTCCCATAAATTATAGGCCTTCATAAAATCAGATTAGTTAGGCGAGGTTGGGTGGTTTCTCATGTTGGAACTTTTTTTAAATAAAGCTACAAATTTTCAGTTAAATCTAGTAAAAAATAAAGCTAAAAATACCAATAAAATCCAGAGAAAATCTTGTGAACAGATTCTTGGATTTATCGACATTTGGCACCGTTTGTTCGTTGTTTCTCAAGTTACAAGTGTCAACTTGTGTGCATTGCAGATCATGAAGATAAGAAATCTTGAACGTTGAACTGAATTTCACTCTGCAACAAATACAAATACAAATCACATAAAAAAAAAAGAAAATTGTACTAGGAAATTATTATTATATTTAATGAACATCAAACACAAAGGCAAACCACCACATCCCTCATATAATAGAATAGAAAATACTTTCCCACAGTAAAACCCTTTTTAACTTAACGTAAATGTGTGGGTGGAGCCATTTTGAATAACGCTGCTTTTCAGATAATCCTTAGAAGAATGCAGTAAAAAGTGTAAAAACCATTTTCCAATTAAAACCGAACGATCCTTGTAGTGTGTACATACAAATATGAAGTACAACGTACTACAGCCAAAGCAAGAGAAAAAGAGCTTCATAAATTTTTCACAATTAGCTAGCTTTACAACTGCATTCATGAGGTATAAATTTAGATTTCACCCACTATTGATATCCCAACACCATAATTATGGCTACACTTCACAATAACACCATTTTTTACTGGAATCATTTTGGTTAACAGAGGTTTCAGTTAAGCCAAGTTTGGTTAAAAAGGGTTTTACTGTAGCTATAAAAATTTACTTTTCACCAGTTAATCTTATTTTAATCTAAAGTATATATGACATGATTTATAATCATTATATGTTATAATGTCGCCAAAAAAATTATGCGTTATTTTAGTGTAGATTCACATTTTTAACTTTTTTTTGGAGAAAAAAATTAAATTGTACTTCAGGCCCAGTTCAATTTCAAATACGACCCTTTGTATACTGACACTTCATTTTAAAGGATTTTTTACGCTGAAAACAACGGTGCAATTGGATTTTAAATTGGTCAAAAATTGACGGGGCGATCAGATCTACCCCTGATATGCCAATACCTAGGATGGGCGATTCTCGAGGCCTAGTAATTCATGGTAAAGTACAAAAGCAGGAATTTCGAATTGCCCATGGAGAGTGAGAAGTGATAGGCTCAAATAAAAACAAACCAAAGTCAAACCTTCTAGATTTTTTTTTTTTAAATTTTAAACAAGGGTATTTCAACTATATAAGTTGTATTAACCCTCAGGGTGCTGGTGTTTTTGAAAAAAAGCCCATTTGTAAGTATGTCAGGACCAAATGCAGGGCCATTAGATTCGAATCCGGGACTTTTACCTTCCAATGATGAGCGCCGTATCAATGCTTAAACAGTTGTAACCACCGACGCCCCTTGGAGAATTGTTTGATAGTTACCTATATCATGGTCTGCCTACCCTCAGATTTTATTTATTTATGGAAGATACCTTTCAATTCAACTTGTGAGCATCATCACCCTTCGTTAAAACAAAATACAAATAACACAAAAATGATATTGCCATTCAGTTTTGTTTTTATTAGGCTGATGATGCTCACAAGGCAAGTGAAAGGCATATTCCATATACAAAGAAAAACTGCTGGAACTAAAAGCTTTTTGAATTTACCTAAACAATCATACATAATGAAGTTTCTTCGCAAAGAGGTGCAAACTTTAGGCCTAGTACGCACTAGGATTCTTTGAGTTGACTTTTTGAATCTCTGGTGAATCTCGGCTGCGTCTAGCCTGAGTCCGGGCTGCCCCGACTCATTGTTGCGATGAATCTGGTGTGTTGCGGGCTAGCATTTTCGGACTCTTTTGAATCCCATCCGATGGGGATTCTTTGGCTCAATGTTGCGCAACATTTGCCAGTGCGGACGTGAATAGGAACAAGTGCTCTTGCTTTATTTGTATAGTTGACGTTCTAGTGAGTGTTTTCTTGAAGATTTTGATACTGTCTTGTTTAAAGATATGTTGTGGAGTACTGAGTTGACTTTACAGTTTATTGAAGACATGCATTCCCATCGGTGTTTGTGGGATGTATCATTCACGGAATACAGAAATCTGGAATTGAAAAGCCAAACATTGAACGGTTTAACCCAAAAATTCAGTGTATCCGTCGCCGAAATTAAAAAAAAAAAAAAAATGCACACTTTAAAAGGACGGATTTTTTTTAATGCATTTCTGATTGGATGCACTATGTACAAGGCAAAAAAGAGCAAGGGAAATTCCTGAGAGCTAATTCCTCCGTCATTTTCGCAGGCCCTGATGAATGTGAACTGAATCTTGGTCTGGACACGTTTCTTTGTCATGGAGCAGAGTCAGGGCTGCATCGCAACAATGAATCTACACAGCCCCGACTCTGCCCCGCAACATGAATTGATTCAAAGAATCCCAGTGCGTACTAGGCTATAAAATTAATATTGACTATCTTTACTGATTTTTGTTAGTACAGATACGTTTCAGCATTCCGCCGTCTTTTCGGCACTTAGGGAGATGGCAGGAATACTAAGATAATTGGTAACTATCAAACAATATGTTTATCACATCACCACAAGAGGAAATCTCACAACTAATTAGAACCAGTGCGAGAAAATTTATTTTTTGGGGGGTTTAATCTTACTAGCAGGGCCCTGGATTCTGAGCAATCCAATAATTTAATTAGGTTTTCTTTTGATAGGGTGAAACAACTTAGGGTCGTTATGAATTTCCCCTAAGAACATGACAAACACCGAGAGGGGTACCCAGGGTTCTAACTCGGATTCAAAACATACTTTTTTTTTAAACAATGGATACCAGTAACTGGAGGAGTTCCTTCCTGAGCACTGCAGCTGTACAGCTTATTGTACTTTATCCCTGGCTCCATTTTTGGGGGCTCGCAACACAACTGTGAATTTGAGCCCCCGGTGTGCCAGTGTTCTTCCATCGAAGAAACTCATTTTTGAAGGGGGTTGGGAACAAATTTAGGGTCGATGAGATCAGATCCTGCTCCTTCCATTGATGAGTGCCATGTCAATTTCTTTCAATTGCGGTCACCGGTCCCCTTAGGCGCCTCAGAAAAAGTCCAGAGGCGACGGTGGGGATCGAACCCACAACCGCGGGATATACTAGCTGAGAGTCTGACACCTTAACCACTTAGCTACCGTGGCCCCCTACATACTATACCCACATGAGAAAATCAAAACGCGCTCTATTCAAACTATTTTCCTTAATAATAGCAAGATTTATGCTTAAAAACGAATTTTTAGCATTTCATTTGAGGTTTAACACATAGTAACAGTTTTTTGTATTTTCCCTAAATTGAATTCAATAGGATAGAGCACATTTTGATTGTAGAATTATAGAACATAGATAGCAAAATTTTATATTTACCAATTGGTCAGTGGGGGAAGGCAAAGACTAGATGGGATCGATCGTCTCAACTATAGACAGCTCAGCCTGGTCAGACTCAGACTTCAAGGTTATGAGCATTTTATCATCCTCGGATGAACTTTCGTCCATTGAACCAGCAGAATTAGTTGACGTTGTTACTTCCTGAGGAAAAAATAAAATAAACAAAAATTTTAAAAAAAAAATTTTTACCACTTGATTTCATTTTTGCATGCAAGTTACAAACAAATAAATAAATCATAAATCATGCACAAATGAGTGTTCAATCTTTGAGACCATGCGTAAGCAGATTATTAAATAGAATTTACTGAGGGTAAATCTTTAAATGAAGATAAAAACAGAAAAAAAGTTAAAACAAAACGAGGGGATAAAGAAGAAATTAAAACAATGAAAATTGTAGAGAGTACAATCTTTGTCTTTAACATTTATCCACCTTGTAAAGTTCCTCTGAAGATGGACGCCTGTTAAAACGGATAAGATCCTCATCTGGACTTTCTATAGTCCAAGAAACTTTGGTATTATCCTTTGAAAAGAACATAAAAAGAAATAAAAAAACTCTAATTGAATTATAAAAATTAAATTAAATTAAAAAAATAATAAAAATTAGGAGGAGGAAAGGAAAGCGGTCCACATGGTTTGTTATCAAACCAATGTTAGATTGCAGTCAACTAAATTTATGTGATGCTTACTCAATTAATAGCTTTTAAAAACAACAATTAAAATCTTTGATATACAATCCATTTTTAATTTGGGTTTTTTTAAAATTTATCAAATTAGTTTTAATAGGTTTATATCTACATCCTCGAATTCTGTAAATCAAAATTAATTCTACATTCTGGTTAATTCCTTAAATTCACTAATTGCATGGTCCGCTTGACCAATTAATATGTTACAATTAATTAAGGTTTTTAGCTGAGATAAAAAAGTCAATGGCACGAGCGGGATTCGAACCCACGATCTTCGGCTAGATACGCCGCTGCTCTACCACTTGAGCTATCGTGACTTCAATCCACTCAGGCACAAACTTCCCATCTCAGCCCCACCTTTTGCTCGTGCCATTGACTTTTTTATCTCAACTAAAAACCTTAATTAATTCTGGTTAATTTTATTATTTATTGTTAGTTTTATGGTATGGCTAATATTAAGTTTTTTTTTTAAGCATTAAAGTTTTTCCAAGCCAAAAAATTCCTTCCCTAACACAAAAACTTTTAAATTCAAAAGCGAGCAGTAAATTGAAACAATTTAAATTGTTGAAAAGCCTGAGACAGTTGGCTTCTTTTTTTAGTTAGTTTTCAGTCCCGCAAAGCTTGAATCAATATAAAACTATAAATAAATAAAATCCGTTTGTTACACTGGTATTTTTCTAATACAATAACCTGGGATCTCCGTTTTTATAAGTCATGTAAACTAATTGTATATAGTTAAAAATAAAATAAATTAAAAAAATCTTTACTTCAAAGTAAATATTTCAATTTTGCACTCTATGAATTGAGTATATAATAACCAATCTATGTTATGGCAATGCTGTTTTCATCCTCATAAATAAATTTAAGTAATGAATTATGTTTATAAACAATTGTAATTAGTATTTATTTAGAAATCGTGAGATGTGGTCTGGTGTGATGTAGGTTTCAGAAAAACATTTTCTTTATCGTGCCAATGCTTCTATCTTTATTGAGATCATCTTCAGGGCCTGGGATTTACAAACATTGTTTACATATAACAATTACATTTTGGATGTGGAAAAGTGAATTTATACAATATATTTATATTTTTCCACATCCAAAATGTAATTGTTATATGTAAACAATGTTTGTAAATCCCAGGTCCTGAAGATGATCTCAATAAAGATCGAAACGTTGGCACGATAAAGAAAATGTTTTTCTGAAACCTACATCACATCAGACCGCATCTCACGATTTCTAAATAAACATCGATTAACGGTCACTAATCACCACACAATTGTAATTAGAATAATTTAATATATACAAAAATTATTTAATGTTTAGTATTTTAACTGTAAGTGAAAAGAGTTTGGTGGAGAGTGAGCTTTAAAGCTTTTTAAAAGCTATTATGATACCAAGTGGGTAAAAAAGGTGCTTCAAAGAAAAAATGCATTAGTTGCTCTGCAAAATTAGGAAATCCCAAATAAAAAGTCAAATGTAGTGAATAATTTGTTTACTGTGTTCCTTTGTTTCTGGTGAGTCCTGACGTGTTTTGAGAGGTGGTCACTTCTCATGAACTTTTTATTACACTCAGAGCACTGGAACCTTTTCTCGCCCGTGTGTGTTCGCCTGTGCCTCTAAAATTGAATATCGTTGTAGAGTTATTTAAAAAAAAATCCATGTTTGAAATTACCTGAAGTTCATCAGATCTGGTGAAACATTTCCCACAAAAGTCCCAGTTGCAGATGAAAGGCCGCTCTCCAGTGTGCCACCGGAGATGGGCTCTCAGGTGCGAAGTCTTCCCGTAGATCTTGTTGCAACCAACCACATGGCAAATGTGCTGCTTTTTCCTTGCTCCAGATCTAAAAAGTCAAACATAAAAGTGTTTATCTTTATATTTTTTTTAGGATATTTGAAAAATTAAAAATCTACCTTTCAACGCCGTCCAAGCAGTTGGGACATGAACAAGCGACTCGTCGTGCTGATCGAGGCTTGTCCTCGCAGTTTTCATCCTCAAATGTTATATTTGAAGTAGAAGTCTGTACTGGCTGGGAAGACAAGCCAACTACTTGCCACCGGTCACTGTTGTCCTGGTTTGTATTTGAGCCATTTGTTCCTGAAGCTTCATACACACAAAAAGAAAAGTTAAACCTATACACAAACCAAAGAGTTATTAGAAATCAAAATAAATTAGTTTTACATATTATCTGAATCGCTCCAGCAGGAATTGTTTGAAGGAGAGGCGGAGGTTGGACAGCAGCAGGAGCAGGCTGTGCCTGTATCAACTGAACATTGCCAATTCCAGGTAAATTAACTGTCTGGACACCAGGTAAAGGAACCTGAAAAAAAATGTAAAGCAAAGAAATAATAAACTATCAAAAATAATATGATCAGTTGTGTACCTGAACAATGTTATTGTTCCTTACAGCTAAGCCATTCGTCAGATTGGCAAGGCTGGATGCAGGGATGACATGAACCTGCTGCTGATTCCCGCCTGCAAAAGTAATTTGATGTATTAATATTTCAACACAGGGGCTAATAAAAAAAACATACCAATAGAAATTTGTTGCTGAGGGAGAATAATGCTTTCACTTGACGTTGGAGCCTGTGTGCCAACGACTTGGGGTGATGTTGATGAGCTTGTTACAGAAGACGGGGTCGTGCTTGTAGCTGATGCGGAGGACGACACCTGGGATGTCTGATTTGTAGGGGATGACTGTACAACAATAGTGTTACCTGCTGAAGCCTGTGTCTCGAATTTTGGCTGGACAACGATTGTGTTCTGAGCCGTTCCTGGAGTGAGTACCTGCACTTGCTGAATCTGGCCTGACGGTGTAACAATTTGTGCCATCTGTGTTGTGCCAACCTGTTAAAAAAAATCAAATAGTGTTAAATGGCTGAATTTTTTTTTTTTATAGAAAAAAATGTAAAAGACTTATACAACTAACATAAAGCTTTTTTTTTATTGTGGTTAAATTTGGAAAACTGCTCTCTTCATCAGCCAATATTCTTGAAATGAATTTCTTATGAACCAGTTTTCCAGGAATGTTGGCTGATGAGGAATTGATACCAGATAAAAAGTATAATAATAGAATTTTATTTCATAATAATAAAAACTTCAGATTGGTTAAATATGTCTTTTTTTAATAATTGTTCAAAAATGGAAAATAGAGAAGCAATCTGAAGAAAATATAAAACAATTAATTAAGGTTTTTAGTTGAGATAAAAAAAGTCAATGGCACGAGTGGGATTCGAACCGACGATCTTCTTCGGCTCTACCACTTGAGCTTTCATGACCTCGATCCGATCAACTTCATGACATCAACTTCCTATCTCAACCGCACCTTTTGAATTTTCCCTCCTTTTTGCCATTTTTCAATCGATGATAGCTCAGGTGGTAGAGCAGCGGCGTATCTAGCCGAAGGTCGTGGGTTCGAATCCCGCTCGTGCCATTGACTTTTTTATTTCGACTAAAAACCTTAATTAATTGTAATATATTAATTGGTCAAGCGGACCACGAAATTAGTTATATAATTATATTTTTTAAAAGTTAAAAAATATAAAACTTTTTTTATTACATTTATTTGATATTTACAACTACAAGTTATGTATTAAGTAAATATGTTCATATATGTTGAATTTGTAATTTGAGTTTCTTGTAGAAGTTGCCTAGTGGCTACACCCTTTCACACTGAAATATTTTCAATCTTCACTCAATGAGAAGTTCTTGGGGTCCCTTTCGCTTCAATCGTCTTGGAGGATTTTCAGAAAGGGTTGGAAGGGATAAATGTCGAACTAATTAATTATTGTGTGTGTTCAGTGATTGCTGAAATTTTTTATAGTGGGTTTTGATGAGTTCATATCCAAACGGGATGTGTAGGCTGTTATTAATACTGTAATTTGAAACCACCTTTTTCTTAAAATTCACGGTTCGTAGCAATTCTTATCCAAAGGTTGAAAGAAAAATCCAAAGTTCCCCATGGTTGAAATATTTTATTCAATTTTGTCTGTTTCATGCGTTTCAGGCCTACGGAGAAACATGGAAAACCTCATGGTACAAGTGCCATCATAAGATACACACATAAGTAATTTACAAATTTTTAAAAATAAATATACCTGGACTATGCCATAGATACACATATATTTCCACCCCATTTTGAGGGGGATGTCAAAATGGTTTTAAAAACTGTAAAAATAATAATAATTTTATTTTAGTCTCCTCAAGGTCCCCTTATCCGCATGAGCCTCCACTCTTTAGATGGTGATTATTGGTTTTTTTCAACAATTTGTCAAGGAAGGGAAGCCGGAAAACAGTACCTACTCAACTCTTGCCAAACGCAGGGCGGATAGCGGCAGTGGGTATATATAAAAAGAATCTCATTATCACGTGTTGTACCCATGAGGGGACTAAAATAAAATTATTGTCATTATTACAGTTTTAAAACCGTTTTGACGACATCCCCCTCAAAATGGGGTGGAAATATAAACGTCCACTTAACAGACAAAATTGAACAAAATATTTCAACCACGGAGAACTTGAGATTTTTCAGCCTTTGGATAAGTAATTTGAAACGTAAAAAAGGAGCATTTATAATTTGATGGAAAATTTTAAGATTGGATTGGATAAGATTGGAGACGTTGGGAATTGGAATCCTTGGTTGAGCACATCACAACAGTATGCCCATAGATGTTTAACCATTGTCTTCTAAATTAAAAGTTCGTTTTCAATGTCTAATTTTGATCGTGAATTAAGTAGCCTTTTTAACAATTTATAACGTCGGTTTGTTTGCTGTCTTTTCAGTCTTGTGTGGGGATTCCAAGTCAGTCGTTTATCCATGAAAAGTCCAAGATAACGCACAAGTGGTAGGCAATGGGATTCCATTTATACTCACTGCAGGACAGACATTTTTATATAAGGTAAAATTTATCTGTGTGCTTTTCGTTAGGTTATCTTTATTCTCCACTTAGTGAACCGTACTGTTAATTCATTCAGGTGTTGTGATTGAGGAGTCCGAATATGTAGGAATATCTGCAGTGTATATAAAACAAATAAAAATATAAAATATAAAACAAAATAGGTTTAGAAAAACATTTTCTTTTTTGTGCCAACGTTTTGATCTTCATTTAGATCATCTTCTGGGCTAAAAGTGTTGTTTTCTGTGTAGATGTGTCACGATTGTGTGTTATATTGAGAGTGTTCTAAACCTACAACACACAAGACCTCATCTCACCATCTCCAAATAATCATTAATTAACAGTCACTAAATACTACACATAAATAGTGTTCACATAAACCTGAGAGAGTTGAGGTGTGATCATAGGTGCAGTTTGAAGAACATTCGGGAGGGATGTGAAAGACTGAAGTGGGAAGTGCACTGTCTGATAAACTGTTCCATTTGCTGTTGAAATCGGGACCTGGACTGGTATGCTTTGCTGAAGCTGCAAAACATGAGTTCCAGGTCTGACTGTGACATTTTGACCTGAAATAAAAAGAATCATTAGGCTGGGTGGTTATCGACAAACTTAATATCCCCTTTTAGTTTGTTAATAACATTCCAAGCAAAATGGCATAGTTACAATGCAATTTTATAATAGCTTTATTTCTTTATTATTATATATAATTACAAGTTATGGCAAAGTTCAAAAATTGTGAGATTTCTTTGTGCTGTCTGCGGGGTGATGAACCTATAATTTGGCCTCTACTGATCATTTTGGGTTCTCTCTCTTCAGTCTGAATATGGCAAAATGCTAAATGCATCTAACAGGCCAGTAAAATAAGGATAGGCTGGTAACGACCAAATTAAAAGTTCAACGAATTAATTTATTTTCATTATTTAAAGCAATAAATCAAGTATATTTTTCTTTTTTGTTGTCAGGGTATAAAATTATTTAAGTATTTTTATTATACTTATTTTGATACTTGACAAAACAATTCATCTTGCCTGCTGTATGTAGGAACTATAGTATTTTAACAGCGCATGTCTACATTATATCACACTTTTAACCAATTTCAAAATTAAAATGTATTAATGTCAGCAAAAATGATAAAATCCAATTAAAACATTTTTTTATAATACAACAGATAAAGAATCTTTTATAGTTTAATACAACTTATATTACGAAGAGGATGAAGTAGAGTGAGTGTTCGTCAAAATCCATTTTCACCAAACCCAAATTAAAAATGGTAAACTTTTTACAACTAATTTGTAGTTAGTATGTTGTATTGTAGACAATATTTTAAATTACCAGGAAAAATAGTCGGAGATTGAAGAAGATTAGGCGCAGTCCTGAGGATCTGCGGGGAGACTAACGTACCTAATCCACCACCTCCTGGTATGAACACGGCCTCTTGGCCGTCGACGGTCACTGTTTGCAACTGCTGCTGAGCCTGCTGCGGCTGTGGCTGCTGGATGCTGTACGTCAGCCCACCCCCGCCTGCTCCGGTTGTCGCATTGCTCGCCTGAAGTTAGTTTGAGTTTAGTGTTGATCGATACATTCCGAAGTGGATACGCACCTGGATAAACTGCCCAGGCACCCCCTGGAGAGAGACAACTGTCGGTGTTGCAGCATTTGATGTTACAAATGTTTTCTGAGTTCCGAGATCAGCAGACCCATTTACTTGCTGGATTGGAAGCAAATTTTGGAGCTGCTGTAATGTTATCACCTACAAAAAATAAATAAATGAATAAACTAATCTCACATCAATATTTCCATTTACTGAACTCATATACTGAAATAGAATAAGTCTATTTATGTCTTAACGCATATTTGCCTAGGCACAACAATTTTTTTTTTTTTTTTAGCAAATGCAGTTATCTCACTTGTCAAACAGTAGTTTTTGACTTATCATTTTATCTGTCTTGCAAATAAAAGTTTTCATACAAATAACTGCATAAGTGGTGATATGATAATCAGTAAGTACTCTAAATTTGTGTGTAAAACTAAACAAGTGTCAGTGCATAGTCCTTGGCAGTGTTAGGACTGAGGCTATGTTCGAAGAAATTTGAAACTATTAAAAACTTAATTATGTCAATTAGTAGACATATTTAAGATTGTTTTGCCCTGATGATGACCTTAAAATAGGTTGAAAGCTCAGCAGATTTTGTTTTTCAACCACTTGACCATACACAGATCCAGATTGTTCGTGCCTAATGTGACAAGTGTGAAAAAGTCAAGATAGAATTAAATTAAGAAACTTATTTACTAGAAACTACATTGAATTTGATGAAGAAGAAGAAAAAACAAGAAAAAAAAAGAATTTCACAAAAATGTAGTTGGTAAGCATTGAATTTGATGAAGAAGAAAAAAACAAGAGAAAAAAAGAATTTCACAAAAATGTAGTTTGTAAGAAAGATATAAACTTTAAAATTGCAGTCCTGAAATGTTATGTTTTTGTATTTATCCTCTTTTACCCCAGGGTGCACAATTATTGACTGCAGTCATATCCTCAAAAACCAACTAGATGAAAGTCTGTTCATCTGAACATAAACGTGAAAAGCAAACCACCAAGGGGATTTTTGTTTAAAACATTGCAGTATTGTGGAACATAAAGATATAGAAAAATGGATTCTTAACGAGTCCAAAACCTCGTTGAACAACACGCCATGAATGAGGCGAAGAGATCATTGAAGGGCCTTCAGCAAAACTTACAAAGGAATTACTGGACGGCAACAGAACCAGATTTCTCGTTTGACTCCTGACACGGCTTAAAAAGGCACATGCACCGGATAGGAGTACAGAGTACACTGAGCAGATACTGCCAGGAAGAGGAGAAGACTGCAGAATACATTTATATTTTCGTTAAGATCTTTGTAGGTGCAGATTCTTGCAACCAGAAGAGGAGCCACAAGCAACATCCTACACTAAGGAGCCTTTGGCAAGGCTATAAAGATGGCCAGTAAGTTATAAACAAATAGGCAGAAGGCCTTGAGGCCACCTCTTTTATCCCTATCCCCAAGATACAAACCATCAAATGTCTGTTTACCACATGATTTATTTGTTTATAATAAGATAAAAAAGTATATATTTTATGGTATATTAATTTATTTCAGAAGGTACATACAATAATAAGTACATACAGTAATAAGTTACTGTGTCAAACAAGAAATAAATCGTATCCATTAATTGTGTAAATGGATAGAAGAATACAAATATTTTTATATTCATATGTATATTGTAGAATGTATGATACAAGAATTGCTGTTTTGCTGAAGTCATGATACACGCTACACCAACGAAGACTGGTACATACATTTTGCTAATAAAAGTTTCTTTTCTTACTGATTTATAAACGTATATGAATAACAATTATTACGTTTTATTCAGCAATTTAGTAAACCAATTGAAATTTCACCGATCCTCGAACCCAGACACCATGCCTTGGAGATAAAGTGACGAGCTCCCAGTTTAATGTTACATGGGACACGCCAACCTTGCTATAATCATTAAAACACCACAGAAATGTAAATACGGATCAAAACCAATTTTTCATATTCCCTCTCGACAACTAAATTGGAAACACAAATCTAAACGGAGTTATGCTTGTTTTTTGATCCAAGCAAGACGGGCCCAACCCTGAAGCCTAATTATTAGATAAACAGAGCCCCAGAGGTCTTGATAAGACGTTTATACAAACGTATCAGGTGCCTGTATAATATAAATCAATCAAAATTTCAAAACAAATATCAAAAACAAAACAACAAGAAATAGTAAATTAACACAAATTAAATCTTTTTTTCTTTTCTACAAAATATCAAATTTTTCAATTTAAACAAGTAAAAATTTTAACTTTTAAGAACCATGTACAAACTATTTGTCAGACCATATGGAAAGCAAGGGTGGATAGGTACTCACTAGTCAAAATAAAGCAATTCGCTGTGAACTAGGACTATTTTTTAGGATCTCACACTTCTGCTCTAGTGAAAGAATAGGCTAGATCTACCCTAAAAGTGGACACCTTTTTTTTCAAGCACTGTAGTGCTAATCATTAAGTATAAATACATACTGTCAGTATGAAAAGAAACTGAACTGTGACAACGGTACACAACTGAATTCTTTAACTATTACAGAGAAAGTGTATCAATTGAAGAGATTCAGTTGGTTGTAAAAGACAATCGAAGTTGGTCAGCAGGTCCAGTCATAACTCGGTACATCTGGTTGCAAGTTTTAATTAGTAGTATAGTATAGTTTTAAGAATAGGAATAACAACTGATAAAGTGTTTATCACCGTTAGTTGTTGGATGGAAGAATCAGATGTATGATTCAGGACTTATTTTGATGTGACTCTTGGTGTATAATCAAAGCCTTTTGACACAGATGAACATTGAGAAGAAAAAAAACTTTCCTCACTTATTATGTAAATGACATTACATCTTATTCAGTAGTTCAATGAATCAATTGAACTGATTTTTAACATATTTCTAGTAAATTATGTCATCAAACATTCAATATGTTTTTGTTAAAATATGTGTACGAGTTGTTTTTATAATTTATTGTTTAATGACCATCACAGTTGGAGAATTTGAATAGGGGTTTGTTTAGGCAACATTGAGGTACATTGTTGTTGGTTGTTTTGTTGCGTCCAATAAAGTTGTGATTTTACGAAATGCGACTTTGTTGTTTTGGAGGTGTGGACGCTCAGCAAGGGCAATATGCTGAATCGTTTGGGAATTATGTTAGAAAGGCGTGAGCGGCGGTGAGACTGAAGGACGCGAGACGTGCCGCTCACTCGGATCGGAAGCGCGTACACGTTTCGGGCCGAATTCGTTGTTAAAACGCCCGTTACCTGGGGCTGCTGCGGGGGCGGACTCGGGGCCAGGGGGTCCCGCTGAATTTGGTTCGCCACCTTGGTGTTGTTTTCGGCCGGTCCTCTTCTCCCTTCTTCTCCACCTCCTTCTTCACCCCTTCTGGGATCTCAAGCGTCCTGGCGGATCGAGGGCTGTCCCTGAAAAGGCGGAGCAGTCACGTCAGTACCAAGGCGCGCGCCTCCCACCCCCCTCCCTCCGTTCATACGCCCAATTTCCACAACAAACGCACTGCTCGGCACTGTTTTTCCCTTTTCAGGGCGAAACGGACGCAAACGAAGGGGGCGGCGGACGTGTGAAAATCGTCGTCGGAAAGTGAAAAAGCCAAGTTTTACCTTGTCTATGTCGGAGTGTGAAACGGGCCGTCGTGAAGGTAGACTTCTCCTAACAATGCTGACCCCCCTCTTTCGCTTCTGTATTCATACGCCGGATCGATAACGACGGTGAAGCGATTTTCGTGAAAAACCACCTCGCGGGCGCGGCAAAGTGCTCCGTTCGATGAGGAAAATCGCGGAGCTGCCTGCAGCGGGTGCGGGGTGACGTCGCGTCTAGGGCAGCGCGTGGAAAAAAATTCAAAACGCCTCTTCTCTTGGGACTATTTTGGGCGTGGATAGAAGGACGGCCCACGAGAAAACTGATTGGCAGCCCGCCCGTTCTGCCCTACCCTAACTTTTAGTGGAATTTGTTTTGTCCCCGGGGCCACCTCCCTGACACGCCTACCAAAAGCCCACCCACCCGAAAACCGCCTCCCGCAGCGGGCCGCGCTCCCGAATAGTTGGCCGAGATAGTTGGGAAGAAACGGCCGGGGGCGGGGGCCGCCCCACTGACCTTGAACCGCCGCCCCCCGCGCGCGCCCGACCCACCACGGGTCGACACGTGCCCGTCCCAAAACGGGCTGTCCCAGGACAGATTTTCAAAAATGAATAGTTGAAGAAAATCCATCTAAAGACAAATAGATGTGACGTTGCTCACTACTCCACACCAGAGTACTCTAAAGGTGAACAAAATACCCTGCTCCTAAAAGCTGGGATAGGGACAGTTTGTCACTGTATAACCGAGTTCTGAAAAAACATTATCAATGCACTTAAACACAATTTACATTCGAAAGTTCTGAAAAGCGTGTTTTTGCACTTCAAAAGTGTAAACTGATAATAATGAGGTACGCTGATTGCAATGCTCAACGACACCTAATTGACAGGTGGATGGAACAGGTGAACTCTGGTATGGTAATAAAGATACTAGGAAGCGGAGTTTGTACTCCCCAGGCACTGCAACCTTCTGGCTTATTGTACCCTCCTAGTTCCTTAGTTCAGTGCAATAGACTCAATCCTTCTCCTTAGAAGTATCAAGTCATTGATTGCCTCTGCTACAATTTGATTCGCTAAGTTTTTCCTTATGTTAGGTTAAATCTCCATTGAGCTGTTGCTTCGCATTCGAAGATGATAAGGGTTTCCTCCTCCTCATTACATAGTCTAGGATGGGATCATTGTTGTATTTGCCCATGTTGTGTAGATGTTTTCTCAGATGCCTGTGACCGGTTAGTAGCCCTTATCACTCCTCTGAGTTGCAGAAGTGATTTTGCCAATCTTGGTAAGGGTTGTTACATCATAAGTTTACTGTGTCTAGCCCCGCTAGAATTTATCCTCTTCTCCTTTTGTCATTTGCTTTTTAAAGAGATGAACTCTGAATCCAACATCAAAAATTTTAATTTTTCAGAAAAAATAGTTTGGTAATTAACAATCATTTTTCGCCTCCAAAGGACGACATGAACAGAATGTTTGAATTTAAGCAAAACTTCCAAATAAACCTTGGTACCAAAAAGAATGGAAACGAGAGGAAAACACCTCCTTTAAGAACGGCGCCATCTTTTGGTACACCGATGGATTTAGAACAAAAGAAGGTACAGAGGTATTCGGTCCTGGAACCAAATACCCAAATACCCAAAGTACACCAATATCTTCCAAGCTGAGGTCCACGCAATCAAGAGATGTACTCACCTACTGCGGGGGGCTCAACAGACCAAAGTAAGTCATGCCGGTTCAACATGAGTTCACCGACTCGCAGACCAAAACCCATCATCATCTCTAAGGGCATTTATTTTTAAATTTAATTAATTTAATTTAAAAATGCCTTTATTCACTACTGTGTTAGTGGCACAAAACTGTTACAAAAATGCTCATAATCAGCGAATAAAAGTTGCCCATGCCATGTCTTGAGGAGCGTTACTATGCAAGAGTTTTAGATTTGCCTAAAACGACGGTTGTCGGGTATTCAGGTACCAGGAGATTGCAAGGTGTACTCGGACACCACGATCTGGACGCCCAAGAGCCAAAGGATCAGCTGACATCAGATTTCATACTTCGAGACATTGCTTTTCCATTGCTTCTCAAACGTCTGTCTTCGAACTTGCGGGATTGTCCGTTAGCGCTGAAACAGTAAGAAGGAGACATGCAGAAGTGAGTCTACATCCCATAAGGCCAGCAACCGTGTACAGCGCTTACCAGAGATCATCGTCGAAACCGCTTAGAGTTTGCAAAGGTCACCGACATTGGGTGGAAACAGTAATGAAGGAAATGTTATGTTTTCAGACGAGTCCCAGTTTTCACTCCATTCACCAGATGGACGTCTTCGAGTATATCGAGTAGATGTGATGAGCAGAGCCAATGCAACAATGCCGGAAGGGGGTCGTTCGATGGCGGTTCAGTTATGGTGTGGAGTGGAATTTCTTTGGAGGCAAACAACGCAGTTTTAATAGGACGTCACTTAATGCAGAAATCTACGCGAAATAAATTCTTGACAAATATGTGGTGACAATTGCTCCGTTTATTGGCGAGCAATTTTTGTTTATGTAAGATAATGCAAGACCAACATAAACCAGCGTTATTCAGTACCTTTGAGTTGACTTGTTGACACATTTATATCCTAAGACGCCCAGTACCTATTCCTGATTTGATCCCATTGAGTACTTTTGGAACGAAAAAATAACCCTCCTACAGCCTTAGCCGAACTGAAAGTTAGATTAGCTGAAATTTATTTTGGATGAAATTCCTCAAATAGTGGCTAAAGGAATTATGAGCATGCTGAGAAGTTTAGTGTGTAATAAGTGCAAGAGGAGGTAATACACCCTATTAAAAAATGTTAAGTTTGTTTTATCATATTTTATGTTCATACACAAAAGTGAATTTTTTTTTTTTGAGTACTCAATACGACATACGTATGTAGAAAAATTGGATATAGTCAGCGGCTATGGAAATTGAACTCAAAATGAGCTTATAAATATTATTGAACACATGAAAAGAACACTTAACGAATACAGCTTGAACAAAAGAAAATATGATTTCGACTCAAAACCCAAGCATTAACATCACCCTTTAAAAACTTATTCTCAACTAAATCCTTCTTCTCGCCTACTACTTGGAGTAACTCAGGGCTGCATCTTTGCCATCCTCTTCTTCATTCGGCCCGGATGAATCCGTATGTGAATCTTTCCTGTTGCTGAAAACGTTGGTCCACTGCTTTAGATGATGTGCATTCGCTGATATCTTCGGTCCTTCCCCTCTTTCACATTTAATCACCTTACATCTATCCTTGCCATAACCTCTGTAACCTTATAAGACCCCAAAAATTTCGCTCTGATTTTTGGCAAAATAAAAACTAAGAATGTCTAATTGCTACTACATCCCCAATGCAATATGACCTGGTTTATTTTCTTCTTTTATTGCAGGTTCTCTGTTCCTCTTCCGCTCTTATAATATGGCGTTTTAGTAGTCCCTCTCGGTCTGCGTCATAAGTGTCTGCAACTGTCTGAGCACTTTTTGTTCCGGTCTTCTCATTTCCGTCCCCGATTAAATTTGAATGAGATGGTTCGTTAGTAGGAGTCGTATCGTCGTATGTTTGTACCATTTATCAGGTTCTTCTAAACTAAGTCTTGTCAACATAGGTACTATAATATCGTTAAGTCCTCAAATTGTGTTGTCTCCAAAGTTTTCATAATTACAAGGATATGGTTATCCATCCTTTGAGCATTTGGCAAACACAAGGACACCACACGGAATTGGTAGAGCAGTAGGTCGTCTGCTTAATGGGTCGCAATGTCTTATTTTGTTACCTGACATTCAATTAATATAAGCAAATTAATCTAAAATCATTGCCAAAAGGGAAAGTTTTGGACATAAGTCCTTTTTACTTAGGGTTTGCTGAAAAGCAGCACAGTCTGTCACAATTTTGAACGAAATACTCGAAACTTTTTAACAGCTGCGATCGCGGCCTCAAGTTCTCGAATATTTCTTCTGGGTGTCTTCTGTCTTACTTCTCATGAAGTAAACAGGATGAAGACTCCTCTCTTATCTTCTTTTTTTGCGAAAGAATCGCTCCATAACCGTCCTAACTTGCGTCCGTATGATGTTCGGTTTCGGCCAGTGGGTCAAAATGTGAGATGGGCACAATTTCTGCCTTAAGGGCTTGATAGTCACTAGCTGAAACGAAATCAACGTCACTCAGAAAGTTTCTCAACACTGGCAATCATTGAATTCTTCGTCAAATCTTTTCACACCTGTTATTGTATGAGTCAAAAAACAGTCAACGGATCAAGACCACGAAAAGAGATGAAGATGAAATATGACCCTTCAGGTTTCCGTGATCGACAAGGCTGGTTCGGACCTCGATGCAGTTTCGAAGTTTCTAGATGCAGCCGGGTCTAAATTGGACTATCTAAAACTAATTCCTATTTGACATACTCATTGCCGGTGCACTTCTTGTCCCCGGTGGCTCTGTTGCTCAAGACGGCGATAAGCATTGCAGAACCATCTGATATAGTTTCGCTGCGTAATTATGATCAGGTGTTCACTAAGCTTATGCGGAGGTACAAGTACCTTGAGAAGATGTTCGAAGATAAGATGAAGAAGGTACTTGTTTTCGTCAAAGGGTTTTCTGAAACGTAACGTATGAAACTTGCACTATGACAGAATTGTGGATCTCCAACGGCTCCGTCCCACCTAATGTCCTCCAAGTACTTATAAATGAGCATCTGGTTAAAGATAGCCTTGCCTTGGAGTTCCTGTTGGAAGTCTTTGTTACTTGGATGCAGGAAAAGGGTCTAAACAGTCTTACAATCCGCATTCGGATAGGTAAGTTGTGACAAATGGAAGAACACATGCTTTTTCAATGAGCTGATGAAATTTTTTCTTTTCCAGACGGAGTAAAAAAT